CACTTTATTGTCTGTCTTCTTACATTCACAGCTGGATAACCAATATTCATCACTTATAATCGGCCACCTGCTCATGACTTTTCTTCATCCTTTGCTCAAATTAACCATTTCACTGTCAGTTATACGCCAGCCAGCCCTACCTGGAGGAGGGTTAGTAGAAGTTAGTGGCGGACGGCTTAAGGTGGCAAGTGAGAGCAACCGGTTACCATACCTCGCTAGTCACCTGACGGAAGCCAGATGAAATCGAGGGACGTACACGTCAAAAGGATAATATTGTTCGAGGTTCGTTGGATAAGGGAGCTGCGACAATGATGCCCTTGGATGTTGCCAAGTAATCCATTTAAGATGGACTACCTGCAGATCCTTAGTGTGTTGGTTTTATGCATTCGTTTTGAACAATGCATGGCCGGAGAAATCGAGGTGTGTTGTACTCGTGAAGATAAAGTAGCTCAAATTGATCAATCTATGAGAAAATGCTCTGATGGAAATTATCGCCTAATCGACAGCGTTTCTCAAGAAAGTCAAATGCACGTATGCATTGGGATTGACTTTATCAACGGAACAGGTTCAAATATAGGGAATACATCATTGTTTAACGATAAACTTTCAAGACAAGATGTTCGGCAAAGACGTCGATCACCTGCTGAAATGGTTAGATTTCAAACAGCAATTGGTAAAAATGCGACGGTAATTTTTTTGGGCAAGAAGCATCACTGTTGTGATCAAGATGAACAATTTGTCAATCGTAGAACACACAGCCTGCCGCATGACAGGGAAAGTCCTGCAGGAGAAAAGGTCAATTCGGTCAGCTCTGTCACTTATCGAGGTGCGGATTCACCTCACCTGTCCCAGTTGGAGACAGCATCTAGACGATACACACTGAAACACCCCTTTACATCGGAAGGTGTTTCTCATGGTCCCATTCATCGCTCTCTACTCGGACAGATTCCATTTTGCAATGTGGCTCATCTGCGTTCTTCGGTAGCTTGCTCGGGGGTAGTGATCACCCCTAATCACATCTTGACAGCAGCCCACTGCGTTCATGACGGGTTTCACTTCGACAGGCGGTTGCAGAAAATGCGCGTCGGCGTTCCAAACAGTAACGGATTTGAAAATCGCCGCGTTCAACGCGTACACGTCCCACGCCGTTGGCTCAACAGTGCGGATCAACGCAACGCCGCCGCGGGACGCACCGACTCCGAACGGGCCGTTTACGATTTTTCCGTTATCGAGTTAGACCGCGATATCAGCAGCACGCCCGTTTGTCCAAGAAATGAAACACGTGCTACAATAACTAACTCTGCCACTGGATACAAAGATCACCAACAATACAGAGCAGTGAGAGCAAGACCAAGAACGAGACTTGGCTTTGTCAGTTTTCCCGCCAGCGGGGAGCATCGGTTGTGGCAGACGACCTGTTCAACTTTGGACCAATCAACAGCGTCCGTTCGAAGCGGACTGCTCGCCACAAGCTGTCCATCACTGGCAGGTAGCTCGGGGACTGGGGTCTTTGCGCAGCCCCCGACAATGTCCGCATCAGCTTTGCTTATGTCCTCGTCGTTACGGGATCTTATCGGACTAGTTTCACACGAGGCTAGGGTTACGAATAACCGTTCTTACATGGTGGTGACCGTTTTAAATCAAAGTAAAAGAAGACTTATTTGCGCAATGATGGAATCCAGCGTCTTCAGTTTCTGCTCAAACAATATGCCAAACAAGCATCGTTTTGTATCCTATTCTTTACACAGGGCTCGTATGAAAAATATTTGATTGGTCTTGAAATTACTACTGATATCACAAACATCCATGGCTAGAGTAGACTGGAATCTAAAATAATCACAATCACAAAAACTTTCAAGAAATAAAGTTAAGGGCAATTCCAATACCCTATTGTCTTGCCTATAAAAATCATGTTCAGACTGGTGCCGCGAGAGGCGACTGAAGTTGTCATAGGTTGATTTGAACGTCTTAACGATGCTTTCAACTTTACATTTCAGATCAAAGCATGTTGTTTTGATTGATCAAATTTCTCTGCATAACCACTAGTCTTGCTAACATTATTTCTACATACGAACGTTTTTATTTCAGGTTCAGAACTGTCACATTTTTATCTGTTTGCTCAACTAGGACCAGGGGGTGTTTCACAAAGATCCCAAGTCGAACTTAACTCTTAAGTTGGACTTAAATATTATGCAGAGCCATTTGTAACTTTAAAACAAAATATGTTCACAAGCAAAAATTCAAGTATTTCTACTTTTTTTTATAAATTCCACATCAAGGACATGAAATCTCCTTGATAATAGAAACTATGAACGATTTGAATCAACATGTTATGCCTTTTAAAATAACTGTTACAAAATATTTTCATGGATGCTAACGGCTTTCCATTATTGTTAAGTCCAACTTAAAGATAAGTTCAACTTAATATCTTTGTGAAACACCCCCCCCCCAGGAATTAAAAGGGGATGTGTTAAAAATAAATGCCTAGATTGTCCCTATAAGGTCCAAGTTTCTTCAGCAGTATATTGATGCATGTTATGCATTTGTTATCTCAGCATTTCACTGGTGTATTCATAAACTTTGGGAACATGTAGACAATCAAATTTAATTAGCATGCTTTCAAAGCACCGACATCAATACAATCAGACACCTCTAATAATAAGAACAACTTGTTTGACAATATGATTTTAAACTCTTTACTACAGGAGACAGTTTTAAATAATATCATTGCATTTATTAAATACTGCTCGATATACAAAATATTTGCATGCATAGATCTGAGTATCGAATCACATTTGCAATAATGGTTTTGCATTTTAATTATGTAAATACACAAATAAATTGTCTTAGTATTGTAAGTAGAATACCTAAAATATACATTCCTTGTGTCATATAATATGTATGTATGCTATTTGTTAAAGGTACAAAGGGAAAGTTCTATTCTACTTTTTGATACACCTTTTGCCACTTAAGAAGGGTTTTTTTCTTCCCCGAAGTGAAATAGTATCTAATGGTGTGAATTGCACATCCATACATTTTTGTTTTTATCATCTGTAAAGTATATTCAACTGAATACATGCCAGCAAGATTTGATTTTGTGGGTTTGGAGAAATCAAAACTTACTGCAGCATCAACATCGTCTTAGTCACACACTTCACTTTCTTAAAATCAGAGCAAGTCCTTTTATTCTTTAAACTATTTCATGAGAAATATTTATTATCTGGCTAGACAAGAAAGATTTCCAATAAATCTCTCTAGAATATTTTCCAAATATATCTAGTGATAAATAAATTGTGAGTTACAGCTAGAGGCATAATAATGACATTTAGGTAGGGCTTAAAACTAATGTTTCTAAGCAGGTTAAGCACCATACTACGGTACGCTTTAGATACCAATTTACATGTAATGCAGTGGAGAAAGAAACAATGTTAATCTTATGTTATGGAATGGAAAGAATTACCAGTAATCATTTTTTTACTGGTTAATCATGTAAATAATGAATTTCTTCATGACAACAAATGAAAAAGCTTATTTGTAAGAACAATAACTAAAACTAAAATACATGTAATTATTGCACTTAACTATAAAAAAAATATTACAATAGCTCAAAGTAATGATTGTCCAGTTAAAACATTTCAGAATTTTATACAAGTTTACTCTTATTGAAAGTCAGTAAAATACTTTTAAAATATGTTATAATGTAAATTTGGTAATAATTTACTAGCACAAGCAATATATCTTCAAATTTTTGCTTACAAGCTTTCTTAATTGTATACAAAAATAGATCAAAATACAAGTATACTGTATATATTAGAAGAATTTCATGTAGTCAATGAAATCTAAAAAAACAGGGTACATTTTATTGATTAAAGGGAAGGCCGGTGTATTATTTCCTATGTACAATTAACTATTCATAAGTCAAATCTGTTGGGAATCTGTTTGACTCATGCAAAATTGACTTAAAAAGTGTACATAATACATGTTTTGCATAGTTTGGTCCCAAACCTATGCTGCTTCAAGTGACGCAGAGTCAACTGTATTACTGACAGCATCACAATTTTTAACATACTTCAATAACTTGAATCTGACCAAATAACAACAAAATTACTTTGGTGATGTAAATATGTATGTTTGGTTTTCTTTATCTATTGCCATTTATCTGCTTTACCATCTTACATATACTTATAACTTTGTTGCAGAGATGCCAAGTTCAATGATCAGCTATGCGTGACATTTTCATGACTCAGCGCGCGAGCGAGGGTATAGCGTACGTTTCAAAATCGCGCATGCACATCATGCTCGAGAGCGTTTTCAGACCCTTGATGCGTGACACTTGGTAGCTCTGTTGTTGTCTAACCTTGATTACTTTCTTTTCGTTTACCATGAATAGTGGTTCTGATCTTTGTAAAATATTTTCATTACTTCGTTATTCTAAAAATAGCTCATTCTGAATGGTAGAGTACATGTACTCATCCTTCTTTTTGTCCAGTTTGGTTGTTTGAATATGTTAATTTATGTGATAAAATTCAAATTAATTTCATCATTTCATCGTCAATTTACTCTCATACCCAAAATATTAGTTTTCTTGTGATATTCTGTTGCAAAACTCTGTTATTTGTGATATATATATATATATATATATATATATATATATATATATATGGTATATGAATTAATGAATAAATTGTTCATGAAATGTCACCAAGTCTTATCAAATTAGAAAGTCCTCTGTTATTTCTTAATGAGTATCACCCCTCCCATCCCCCTCACAAAATAAGACTTTGAGGGAATACCAATATGGTGGCATGTTCACTCAAGTGAAGAACTGGGCCATTGATATGGTGACACCACAGAGTGTGCATCGTGAATGGGTATAAGCCTTCCCCCTTTCTTATTTCCGTGGTCATGTCCCTGGTTCCTAGCAGCTGAAGTACAGAGCATATGCAGTATGTTGTCAGTCTAAAATTACAGACACTGCTAAGCAACGTGAAGGACAAGGGTTTGTGTCTACAAACTATTACTACAGTACATGAATGAACAAAAAGGAATCATGAAAGACCTATTTTGGTCCTAGTATGCATCAATACAACACACATTTTGCTAGTTAGCATCCAAAGATAATATAAAGTTATAAAAATCTATCTAAACCCAAGTTTATATACTTGATTTTTAAAAACTCACACAGATTGCAGATAATAGCCTGAAAGTCTAGTTCTATTTGTACACAGCTAAAATATATTAACACAAAGTTATTGCAGAATCAATTTCAAACCCTGTTAACTTTCAAATCATTAAGAAGTAGAACAATGTCAGTGGGTTTCCATTCTATTCAAGAGATGGAAACCAATTACTATTTGACACATGATTTCAAACCAACGGGTCAATTACAATTTGTATGATGGGGCCCTGATGATATTGTGATTGTGAACAGATGATGATCAATATTGTAATTTTTTTTGTTTTAGTCATTTTTCTATCGGATTCAATCATTTATTACCTATTTCTATCGCAAACATGAACAGCAATAAGTCAATATGACAAATGTGAACATATTACATCTGATGTGCATATTCTACATAATAATCTTTTAACCTTAAAACAAACTTTAACATTTACAAATCTTTTAATAAAACTTCATAAACATTTAGTACAGCAGTGTACTGTTGGTGAAAATGACATGTTTAAAAATAATCAAATCTGGTTAGTTATCAATGTTGTTTCTATATAAAATACAATAACAGTCAAGTAAAAACGTGATTTAAAAAACATGTGCGATTGACTTTACCTTAAGTTCAAAGTATCGATGTCTTATGGAAGCTTAGCGAATTATATTATTATATCATAGATTCATAAAAGCAAGGATATTTACAGCTACAAGTTATTCTTACATTATTTACTAATCTACATATCTACATATATATATACTGCTGTGGCGAATAATTAGATAAAAATCAACCCTAAAAGTCCTACAGTGTATTCACATGTGCATGATATCAAATTATTGGAAGACTCTTTCATATAAAAATAATTACATATTAAAGCTGCAGCTTTGAACTGTACAATTTTTTTTTTAATCACACTTTCATTGAATGTATGACATTGATTACATAATGGTTACCTCTATAGATTTTATCATTTATTTAATCAATATCCTCATAATCAATTTCAAAATAGAGTTGGTTTTCTTCCTCTCAAATGAAGACTTGTCTGGCATTACTTTACAACACTAAATTGATTATGTGTTCAATAGTTTTAACAAAAAAAACTGTTTTTGTACTCCATTGGAAGGCATAACAACATCAATAAGAAAAGGCATTACACTTTTGGAGCACTTTTATCACGGGTGACCGTTTTCTTCAAATTCATCCCCTTCTTTATGTCACTTAAGAGAGCACCCCTACCTTCCGTATTTGGAACATCCCTTGCAGCATTACTGTTATTGGAGGATTGGGCAAATCCAACTGCTGGTGGGGGTGCTGGCACTGATGGTGGAGGAGGGACAGCAAGCTGGATCAGGGGAGGGGGTGGTATAGTGACAGCAGGTGCTGATGATGGTTTGCTCTGACTGGAATTAGCTAGGTCTCCGTTGGTTGTTGGTGCTCGCTTTGATGAACTCTTGTTCTTGTTTCTGTTCAATGATAAATAAAAAGTACTAATTAACTATTCAAAAAGTAGATAATTGAGAAGAATATGAGGAAGACGAACAGGAATGGAATGGGAGGAGGAAGAAGAATAAGAATAAAGAGTAGAAGAAGAAAGATAAAGTAGGAAAAGAAGGAGAAAAAATGGAAGGTGAAGGAGGAGGAAGGGGATAATGAATATTTGTGACAAAGGCACCAAGTTCATTTACAGTTGTATGTAACTTAACGCGTCAAAACCAGTTTTATATGAAACATTGGATACAATTTCCACCCTGTTTGCTATATAATAAAAATTAATTACATTTTTTGTGTGTGAGGACAGTCGTCTTCACCAGTTTTCATTTGTAGTTAAAATAATCATATTAACAAAAAAACAGAAGATAGTTCTATGTTAAGTGGGATGCAAAAGTGCCTATTTTCATCTCTTTCATGAAAGAAAGAAAATGAATTCTCCCTCCAAGAGTAGACTGAACAGTCAGTTATATGACAAACCCACTATGCACAAAAATTGGTTGGAAAACCAAGTCAAATAGAGAAGTTAAAAACATATTCACATTCCTTGATTAAAACATAGTCAATGGAAATCAAACCATAACGGCCTAAAAAAAAAATTAAAAATTGCTGTCTGTCTCAAATTTTATCATTTATTCTTATGGTGGAAAGGCTATGCATTTTATGAAACGCACATTTACAATACCATCCAAACATCACAATGTTACTAACATTGCGATGACATGAAGTTGCTCAAACATCACAATTTAACCAACATTGTGATGTTCACTTTAAACATCATTATTTTACTATCATCGCTATGTCACGGTAGAATTTTTTAACGAACTACACCAAAATAGCATGGTGGCTAAGAAACTTTCATCATAACATCGCGATGTTTCCATAATAACAATGTTTGAATGGTACTATACATGTTAATGAGCGTATTTTTTTTATGATTGGCTAATACTAACCTGAGAGATGACCTTGAGCTCACATGTGTCCTTGAGCGAGATCTAGAATATATTTTTAAGATACAGATGATTTCATGAAATGAGATGTGATGACACTTTGTGATTCATGATTTGAATAACATGAAGCTGCTGTGACTTTTTTTGCATGGTTATAGGTTGGCAGGACAATGGTATTTGATCATTTGGTGTACCGTATGCTACCAAGCATTGTGGAGTTCTGGGCCCCGTCTTACAAAGAGTTGATATTGATCCGAATCAATATCAAGTCACTAAATCAATCACAAGTCTGCAGTCTCCCATCTCTTATGTACATAGTTGTGATTGATATCAATCACAAATAAGTTGCGATTGATATCAACTCTTTGTAATACAGGGCTCTGAACATTAAAGATAAACTTGAGTTCTGGTAATGCGATTGCATTGTGAAAGAAAAGGTGTGGAATGGATCAGAAAAGTTGATCATATAGCATGTAAGTAATGGTGTGTAATGCAAGGTTCTGGAGTCATCAAAATCATCATAAATTTGGCAGAGTCTTGGTAAAGTAACAATCACTTACACAGAAAGCTGTACATGGGACAACACACATGTTGTCGGGGCTGGTACTACCCTGATTTCCTTATCTTTCTATGCTCATTACTCAGCCAGTATACATTTTCTTACAAAATTGTGTGGCACATGACATTTATTTGTAATCTTGAACATTCAGTGTAAGTTTCGTTAGATTCTGTGAGAATTTATTTTCTTTTTTTTACCAGAACTCAAGATTATCTTTAATTGACATGAAATGTGTCATTTGACTTTACACTTGGTCTGATTTAGGCTTAAGAATTTAGTTATTAACTTAATATAATGATCATATATACTAAAATCTGAGATGTGGTCGGTCATATATAAAGGGACAAAACAGCTTGGACTTGCCCAGGCATAATGAAATATATGTATATGTATTTAGACTCCCGTAAGAGAAATATTATAAATACTATGAGGCAGCTTTACACTGTATTAGGCTAAACATTTCTCGTAATATCTTTAATTTTCCCCTTTTAATCTAGCTTTTCCTGTATCGCAATTCCAGGTATTCATACAAACTTCCAAATATATTACATCAAGCCCTCTAAAGTCATCAAACTACTACATAAACAAATTCAAGAACCAGCAGAAGACGTCTTTATAGGCTAATAGTGTTAACATACAGGTTACTTTGATATGTATGCTCCAATGAGAAGCACTGCTGGAGGGGGAGCAAGTGCAATTTTCTGGAGAAAGTGTATTTATTTATCAAGAGTAAATGTAATTTGAAGTGGAGCATTCTAAAAAAACATGTCTATCCATGACAGCTCTAACACGAGGTCAAGTGCCTCTCACACACATTTTAATCCGCTGTTTAATGGAAAAATCCCTCCACTCTTGAAGATTCTGATAATTTATTATTTACATCAGGCCTTTGAGCTGTGCAATCAAATATGCGTATTTTATCTCCTCTCGATGATAGCCATAACAACTAAGTAATATTTCCTGATGTTAAGCTTCTTCTGGGGAAATCCCCTCAAATTCCCATTGACAGTGTGAACAACATCAAGACAAAGGAAATCCACAATTTATCTTGTCTCTGTATGCAGTAATACAATTTGTGTGCATGAAGTAACACACAACTCTCAGGTATGCGTTTAATGTACACAGGCTCAAACAATGTATATGCGCATTAAAAAATTAAAGCTTTTCATAGCTCTACATGAAACATTTAAAGTACTAGCAGTTTTAATGGTAGGACAGCTTGCACTTGCACTTGAATTTGAATGTGAGGTGAGCTTGATTGGTCATGAAAAAGATGAGCTCTCAAAATTTTTAAATTTTGGCCTGAAACATTCCTCTCAGGTTTTACTCTTATGTTGTAGCTACCAAATGATTTTAGACCCATTATGAGCCGTAGCCCATTTCATCTCCCGAAAAATGAGTGACAATACCTTTAACTCTTTCTGTGCCACTCTCATTTCAAACTGTTTTCAGACAAGTACAATAGTCACTTTCTGAGTTCTTATTCTTTTTCTCAATGAGTATGAAGCACTAATCATACAAGCAAACTTCAAAATGCATGAATCGCTTTCTGTTTCATTACAAAAGAGAATATTTTACACATTAGTCAAATACGTGATCTCATTTTTATATTTGCGGAAGGAAATTTCTGCCCACAGCATGGAAAGGGTGAATAGTATATTGGCATGATGAACAATTTATGTATTATATTTGTTGGTTTCAGACTTACTTGAGAACTTTGCCTTTCTTTGCTGCTTTGATTAGAGCTTTCATTGCTGCAGTCAGGTGGATCTGTAAAGTGAAAAATATAATTTAATCTTCTTTATTTATATAATTCCTTCTATTCAAATCACTTTTGTTTATTTCATTTCATATCATCATTTCCTTTTAAATATTTCATTTTTTTAAAGTTTAATATAAGTCATGTCAACAGTTCTCTTCATTTCATATTATTTTATCTTAACTGAAATACATTGTATTTATCAATAACATATATTTTTAATTTATCGATCACACTTGGTGTTTGTCCAAATATATTGAAAATTTCTAAAATAATCTCAATATATAAAAAAGATGATTCTTCATTAGTAAATAATTATCGTCCTATTTCCCTTTTACCGGCTATCTCAAAAATTCTTGAAAAAATTATTTATGAACGACTTTATGATTTTTTAAATAGTAATGATTTACTTGTTCCTAATCAGTTTGGTTTTAGAAAGCATCATTCGACAGATCATGCAATTATTCAACTTTATGATAAAATTATTACATCATTGGCTAATAAGGAACACAGTGTAGGCATTTTTATGGACCTGAGTAAGGCCTTTGATACTATTGATCATAAAATATTGTTTGATAAATTACACTTTTATGGAGTAAGGGGTATTGCTTTATCATGGTTTAAAAATTATTTGTTAAATAGAGAACAGTATGTATACTTTCAATCTAAAGAGTCAAGTAGATTACCTATAACTTGTGGCATCCCTCAGGGATCGATTCTAGGTCCTTTATTATTTTTGTTATACGTTAATGATATTGTAAAATCATCTAAACTTTTAACATTTATATTGTATGCAGACGACACTAATGTATTTTATTCTCATACAAATTTAGACACACTTACGTCAATCTTAAATGTTGAATTATCTAAAATATACGTTTGGTTTAAGTCTAATAAGTTATCTTTAAATTTTACTAAAACAAACTTTATATACTTTAGAAATGTTCATTCACCAAAAATAAAAAAAATTGTAGATTATATATTAATGATATTTTGCTTTTAGAAAAAAATTCTGTCAAATTTTTGGGCATAGCCATTGATTCTAATTTAACTTGGTCCGATCATATACATAATATATTGAGCACTGTTTCTAGGAACATTGGAATATTATATAAATTGAAATTATTACTAACTCCCAAATCTCTTTTTATGATTTATAATGCCTTTGTACTTTCGCATATTTATTATTGTAATATCGTATGGGGAAACTGTTGTAAAACTAAAATTAATTCACTTGAACTTTTACAAAAGAAAGCCTTACGAATTTGTACACAATCTGATTATTTAGCACACACTACACCTATTTTTAAAACATTGAAAACTCTCAAAGTAACTGATATGCACATTTTTCAAACAGCTTTTTTTATGTATAAATCTGTCTCCAACTTACTTCCTAAGTCCTTTCATGATTTTTATATTCATAATGTTAATGTACATTCGTACCCCACGAGGCACTCTATGGATTTTCATTTAACTAACCCTAAAATTGTTTTGGCACAAAAATCAATAAGACACAATGGACCCGATGTGTGGAACTCCTTGCTTATAACATTAAAATTATGTACAACACTTGTTTCCTTTAAAGTGAAGACGAACGAATATTTATTGATAAGGTATGAAAATTAGATTCTGGTCATAATATACTACATGTACTTTGTTTTAATATAAATATTCATTGTTTATTTGTATATAAAAAGGAAATTATTTGATAGATTGAGGAGCTCGCGCAGTGCACTCTTCACTTTGCACAGCACTCTCTTCACCCGCTCTTTCTTCCTGTCTCCTCTCCTCCTTTTGTAAGGCCGGTATCATTTCAAGCTTTGCTTACGATATTGGTCTTCTGCATTCTCCCCCCTTTCTTTCTTTTCAAATACGATTAATTGTACTATTGATTATTTATATTTATTTATTTGTGAATTACTACTTGTATTACTTATCATTATATTGCTAAAATGTATTCATTGTTATTTTTGTTATTGTTTATGGAAAATGCAGAAATAAAACTTGAAACTGAAACTGAAACTGTTATTACTTCATTATGTCATCTTTTCAGTTCAGTCCCTTTTCACCTTTCCATTTCATTACATGATATTTCATTTCATAATATTTTTCATTCTACACAGAAATTCACAATATAATCACACATTGCAAATCATATATATATATATGACAGAACATTGACTTTAAAAAAATGAAATCACACTAAAACAGAGTTGATCATTGCACTTGGGGGGAAAAATTGAACTAAAAGCCTAAAAAATAACTTACATTCTGCGGTGGATGTTTTTTCAGCTCTGTCAATTTGACATCAGCAAAGAAATGGTGATCGGCTATCTGTTCAGGTCAAATCAAATGCAAAGATTACTTCCTGAATATGAGCTCCTCCATACGAATTCATTAGGACCAACAACATCAAAATAATTTGTTTGTGGTCATAAAGCAAGTTTTCATAAAAGAGACTAATATCCAATAACAAATCAATTTTAAGAATACGCTATTTTAATTTTAATAAGTTGAAGTTATACTGGGCAATTAAACAAAAATGATCTCTTCCTTAAAAGTTAAAACATTTTTCTTCTTCTGATGACTGACATTAGTACTCATGGGTAAATCAATGTTAATGTTTCCAAAGGTGCATGGTCGCTATAATATCAAGAGGTTCATTATGCATACTGTAGACAAACGGCGGTTATTATTCTTTCTATTAAAACACCTATGAATGAGTCGAAGGTTTCTAAACACTAAGGAACATGAGAGAGGTAATATAGAGAAATGACAAAGAGAGAGGGGGGTGAAAGAGAGAAAATAGAGAAGAGTAGGAGGAAAGGGAGGGAGGGAGGGAGAGAGAGAGAGAGAGAGAGAAAGAGAGACAGAGATAGATAGGCAGGCAGACATAGTTTTAAAGAAAGAGAGGAAGAGATTGATACAGACATAGGATGAACTCACATCAGATAGAGAAGGATAATCGCCTGCTACATCAAAGATGAATTCTAGGAGCTGTAAAAGTAAAACAGACACAAACATATACTAGTTTTGAGTATCAAGAATTCATTAAAAAGTACCACATGAACAATTAGGCCCAGTGAAATCAATAAGCATTAATTGGCTTTGATAATCAATGACAATCCCTTTCAGTTGTTGAAAAAAACCTACAATAAATGAGTATTTGCCACATCTCAAATTAACATTTCTTTCATGAAGTACTAGAAAGTGTCTAATATTGTGATAAATATTTGAATGAGAAACATTTATTTGATTCAGATGGACTTTTTCTTTCAATAGAATAGTATTTCTTATCACTCTGCGATATCGGGGGGGGGGGGGGGGGGGGGGGGGGGGGGGGGGAAGGGGGGGGGGTATGACCACCAAAAAAAAAATCAAAAAATCAAAAAATCGTGCCGTTTTATTGTTTTACTTTTTCACTCAAGGGGGGGGGGGGGGGGGGCTTTAAACCGCTGAAACACCCCCCCCCCCTCCCCTAGATCCACCCCTGGACGTAATCTCCATTCCTCCATCTAAACTTTGTAACATTTCAAAATCAAATACAAGAACAATAGGGCAAGATAGAAATGTCACTTATATGTACCTGTATAAGTTCTGGATGTTGACATCTGTTGAGTTGTGCCCTCGTCGGAACAGCTTCCTCCAGCTCTTTCCCTGCCCCCATCTCATACAGGAGATGACCTATGTAAAATATGGAATAATGATCTGTTAATCTTCTCTTCTCTTGCTCTTTCGGTCCTTCAATTGGTCTTTCAGCATTTTCATTTAATATGAAAGTTATCACAAAAATCCACCCTTTAGAAACAATTTTCACTAAACATGCATTGTCCATGGACTTTACACTTTAGTCTTAGTATTCAACAGGATGAGCTTTCAGCTAAATAAAGTATGCCAGCATATATATACATACATAATTTCTTTGCTGGAAAAGCACATGACCAGTAAAGATGTTAAAAAAGAAAGAGATCCCTCACTTATATAAAAAATACAATATCTATTCAAACTAGCATATTTATAAACATCTTATTCGTAAGTTTTGAGGTATCGTAGTATTCATGAAAGAACTATTCGCTCAGTAGGCATCTATTAGAAAATCATGTATATAATTTCTTAGGAGCTTCTTTGATCACCATATTGAGAGCAAGAAGGGAATTATACTCAAGTTGAATGATTATGAGGTAGTCAATGTCCTTCTGGCTTTGTGGTTTAGTATTGCTTCATGGTGACTTACCCATACAGAGGCTGTCAATAGCCTCTGGCTTCTCCTTCAGCAGGCGCCTTATGACAGGCAAGAGCTTGGAGGTGTATCCTAGGAAGACATTCTCATAACCTGACAACCTTCAGCGTGATGTCATTAGAAGAAGAGAGAGAGAGAGAGAGAGAGAGAGAGAGGAAGAGAGTGAGTGAGTGAGTGAGTGAGTGAGAGCGAGAGAGAGAGAGAGAGAGAGAGTGTGTGAGAGAAGAGAGAGAGAGAGCAAGAGAGGAAGAGATCGGAGAGAAAGAAAGAAAGAAAGACAGACAGATAGACAAACAGGGCAGAAAATATCAAAAGATGTTAAAATTAAGGTCATTATAACTATCTCCATACTGTAGCGATCGATCCATACTGGTATGAAAACTAGTTTTCAGGAAATACCCAGTTATAGTCATATAACTTTGATAAATGTATCTCTTCATTGACAAGGCAATATTAATCAATATGAAGCAAGGAATTTCACACTCATTTACATATTATTTTCATTGAATAATGACAGTGAAGTCAATAACAGACTTGCAGATTTATTTTAAAAGTATGTGTTCACTGTCCATAATTCATAACTTAAATCTCACCTGCAAGCTCCTTTCTTGATGATGACATTGCCTGCTTGGATGTGACAGTGGGGAGGAAACCCATTCTCTTGGAGGTACAAGGCTCCCTATATCGGGACAAATACAAACATGTTGCAATTCAAGTTTTTATTTTTGAAGATATAAATTGCCTACAGGGAAAATGGGAAATAGGCAAAAAAAGCTTGCTCTATCATTTGTTATATTCTACTTTTTCTAGTTTGATCTACAATCAACCAACTCCACTTAATTTCTTCCCTTTCTACAGCTGTCTCCGCCAGTCTCTTTTATGTTTGATTTGATTGTTCTTATTCTTTCACTCCCTTCCTCTCTCCAGCTCTCTCTGTCTCTCTCATCTTATTCTTTATGATATATATTTTTTTTTCATCTTGACTACTCCTATTGATCCTAGTTCTACCCTGATTCATATATGATGCATGCTCTGCAGCTGTACTTTGCTTCATTATAACATCCTGTACTCTACTATCTTCTTTCTGTTCTCTCCTGTGGCAAAATGTGCTCCAGGCATTATTTTGTAAAAAATGTGGGGTAAAGGGATTAGGTTTGCGATGTGGATTTGAGGGTAAGGTTCAGTGTTAGGGTATATAGTGTTGGGACCAGGGAAGATGTTAGGAATTGAGTCGGTGTGGGAAAGTGGATGTTTTCATTTGAGAAGACATGTAACAGACATGCTCTGAGGATCAGCTGGACTGCTCACAAGAAGAAACAAGTCAGTCCTTGAGGAATTGGAGATTGAGCAAAGGTTTATAGGGTCTACTGAGAAAGCGGAAACTGCCGTATTTTGGACACATCATCAGGCCAAAAATCTCTGTACCCGCATCCTTGAGGGTCAATTTAATGGTATAAGGTCAAGAGGAAGGTGAAGAAGGAGGTGGACAGATATTGAACATGGGACAGTGAGATCCCTTGCAGATTGCACAGAAACAGCGAGAGAGAGAGAGAGAGAGAGAGAGAGAGAGAGAAAGGAGAGGGAGATGGTGGAGAGCATTGGTGTATGAATCCATGACCCACCGGCCCTCAGGGGTGAGGATGGGAGAAGAACGAATGAACTAAATGGGTAATTGACTACAGAGCAATTTTTACTAGAGCTTGTGTCGTAAAACCCAAACTTGACTAATTCACTCGTATAGAATGTTTACCTTGAGTATTTGTAGACCAAACAGTCTGATTTGTTTCAGTGCAAGACCTCTGGATTTCATGCCATACTTGTTGGACCAATCAAGTTTTGCTTTCGCCTGTATATAAAGTATAACATATATCATGCAAATAAACTTGCACATCGTATATAAAATTGATAATGTCATAAAGTTGGTAAGATCATGTGCTACAATGTCAGATAATTTGGATGAAATTTATACATGGGTCAACTTGTAATGTCATCAAAAACCTCTGCATATACTTCATCAAATGTTATGTGTACTATGTGCTAAGTACTTAACTATCATCATACAAACCTTTCAAAAGTGAAATTTAAAGCTCTTTGTTTCATTGCTTATCTTGGTACAAGATGTCTTCAAAATAATAAAACTTTATAATGTGTTTAATTTTATTCACTTTATGTTCAAATGCAAATTGACTGAATAGCAATGAAAAAATATAGTACATACGTTCAATATCTTTAATTAAAGATATTCAAAGAATATCAGCTAATACATACTACAGCTTTTCTTTAGCTTCTATTTATATTGTCCATTTTTTACTTCCTATTCATTCTTGCAATTTACTTTGATGTGTGCAAGACAAAGAGCTTTAGTATTTCGGTATTCCCTACTGTTCTTTGATTGTGTAGTCAAAATCATCTCTTTCATTATAGATTTTATAGGAACATAAACAAAAGGGGACTTACATGGCTCATTATAAACTGATCAAATACATGTACAAGTCAATGAAATGTACAAAATATTACTTATCATAGGCATCCGTAAGGTACTGTCTATCTAGAACTATTCCAAAGTGCACAAGGAAAATGGAGGTAAAACTAAAGGAGTGTCATATATTCATTCATTATTTATTTATACATTTCTGCATTTTTCATCACATTACATGGTATAGTCATGTAAATAAATAAAATTTCCTCACTTAATCTTAATGCCTTCTTTGGGTTAAGGATGTACAACTTAGAATCAAATAATAATGATATACTTTCCTTCTAACTTACATTGTAAATATAATCCTTGAGGGAACCGTTTGAGTTGAATTCTTGTGTCACTATCACCACCTCATGCTCTTCCCACAGATCAATATCAGCAGTAGGCCAAATGTAAGGATGCTGTCAATGAAATAACAACATTATATAATTAGTCAAACCTGCTTCAGTGACCACCTGTCTACAAAGGCCACATTTGTTGTTTCCCTTGAAAATGGTTTCTCATTGAATCATGTACTAAAGGAACCTGTCTACAAAGGCCACTTCTTGTGTTTCCCTTGGGTGGTCGCTATAGACAGGTTTGACTGTATTTTTATTTCCAGTTTCATCCGTCACTTACTTACTGGTACTTTAATAAGCCATTCAGGCATTCATCAAACATGTAGACAAAGCATCTTCAGAATATCATACTTTCTTGCTGATGACCAAATCTGGGACCCTGTTTCATAAAACTTGCTTTCAATAACAACTGCCACAGATCTATGACAAATCTGCTAACAACCAATCAAATGCAAGGATTTCAGTAGCTTATAACAGTTTTTGTAACTTGTTATTAATAACAAGTTTTATGAAACAAGGCCTCAATACTAAATTGTAGTCAAATATTAAGCTATGCCCTGTTACATGTATATATTTCTTTAAAAGTCCATCTCTTCAAAGCACTGGAAGCTCACAAATGTGGGAGTTTCCTTATCATCATAGGAACTCAGCATTCTTATCATAAGAGCGCTGTTTCCTGAAACTTGTTATCACTAACAAGTAACAATAACTGTTATAAGCTACTGAAATCATGGCATTTGATTGGCTGAGAGAAACTGGTTATTGATAACAAGTTTTGTGAAACAGGGCCCATGTCTCAACACTAACAGGGGCATGGCACACCTACAGCCCTAAAATTTAGATCCCAACCCAAATTGTCAAATATTAAGCAGTGACCCCTGTACACAGGTTGATGATAAATCGCTTCATTGACATTTTCTCCTTGCTTTTCTATTGTCAAAGATATACGGTTAGGATTTACTGGTTTTAGATTGGGTTTGAGATTAGGGTAAGATTCAGTAAGGTAAAGAATTAGGTTTGGGGTGGAGTAAGAAATTTGTTAAAGGGGGTGGCAAATACTGGTTAACGCCATCTACGACTTCTTTTGGACAACTACCCGTCAACGATTGGACTAGATTAACGGTCAGCGGGCACAGATCCTAAAATTTGAAATCTGACCTCTTCAAAAAAGTTAGTGAGGAGCCCTGAAGGAATAAATGAGCTTAGGATGAGTTAGTTTCATGAAGCCTTTACCTGTAAATCGAGCAGCATATCTCTGATGGTTTTCTGGTTTGAGGAGCTGAATGGAAGAGGACATCCAGGGCTCTTGGAGCACTGCGTTACCACCAAGTCCTTCCATTTTCCATGCTCTCTGACAAGGAACCAATGCTTGTCCACTCGGCTACCTGCATGAATGGTGTATTAACAACATGTATGGAGGCACAGAGTTGAAATGGTACTATTTCACTGTCACAGGGATGTGACTGAAATACATTAACTGCAACTTTATCTATTCTTTATTCAGAGATAAAGATGTTTTAATTTTCATTTGCAGGATATTTTCTGTTAACAAAATGAGTAAATGTCATTTTGTGAGAGGAATTGGTTGATCTCGACATGCACTGTATTTCAACCAATCTCTATCACAAAAATTACTTTGGAAATCAAACTCATCCTGGCACATTGCCAAATGAAATAAAAACACAAAGTGACAGAAAACAGGCCTATGTACAGGAGTAATGTAAATCTTCTTTTTTTCCAGTCTAATATCTGTCTGGTGTTGATCGTGTCAGTTTGACTGGGATATGTCAAAATATATCAATCCACACGTAAGAAACAGATATCACATACCGGTAATAAATGTATGCTAAGCTTTTATAAAATATGACACTCATGCTACTCCATGAAAACTGAATTGTAACCAACTTGATTTGGTTGGTTGATGCAGACATCCTATAGATAATCAATTAGTTTATAGTGTACCGGTAGTCACTTTTTTTTCTGTTTTTCTTTTTTCTTTGTAATATTTCAAACTAGATGAATAAATGGATGAACCATCAATACTTTTTAGTTTTGCATGAAATACCACTGTATAGTAACAACTAGTTTTAATTAATTATCTTGGATGATAGAAAATTGTGACCTTTTACTTACCCATATCAGGGAGATGCTGACTGAAGCTGTATTTCGGGTTGTGAGATCGCATGTAAAACTGGAAATTCAGGAGTGCATCGTCTGTATGTATCAAGAGCGAACATGTCATGTTATAAATAAAAACTTTGCTTCACGGCAGATTATGCTAAGATTCTTTCTCAGGGAATATCAAGGTAAGAGTATAAGACTATGAGATGCACATGTTTCAAAGATTAAAATATATCTGAAATCATTTCATATTTTTTTTATACTGTGAAATGAAAATTTTGAAAATATTTGGGCCTCAGGCAAATATTTAATACTATTTAATACTAGAAAGGGCCTGATATGAAATTACGTTTTTGTTTTGTTAACTCCATTCTAAAGACGAAACTCAATGGAGTAAACTTGCGATGAAGATATCAAAGAATTGGCTTTGCTTGAGGAGGTTACAGGTAGAAGCTCTAAGTATGGTGCATAAGACTTTAGACTTTCAACTCCTGAAAGCTTGGACATGTTTTGTTTCGCAACCGAATCACATTAGGGCGCATTAGCAATGAGACGGAAAGCACAGGAGACGGAGTGTTTAACCAACTGTGACGGGTCTCGCACTCTTGTTACCGTCGTGATATTCAAGCGCTTACGCTGTCTGCTAAAGGCGACGGGGACGCAAAGTCCGTATCCAATTCCCGCGCTGAACTGCACACCTGCTGCCTTTTGGTGCTAGTGCTCTAGGGCCTTGAGGCTTGGCCGGAGCGCAGGGGCAATGGACCCGGCGGTGGGCTGTAGTGCACAGCGTGCAGGCACATCGTGCATAACGATGAAAAAGGGCCCCCAAAGTAGGCCTAAACGGCCAAACCATTAATTTATTGTAGATTGAGGTAGAGAATAAGCTACTTTCCCTGTTTTTATCTTCAGTAGTCATGGTAGTGACCTGCATTGATAGATGTAGATAAAAATTATTTGTCAGCTCTCTCTCTTATGTCGTGTTTAGGGAACGAATGCTATGTTGGCCGAGGACCGTTCCGAAAATCGACGGGACGGAGAGATTTCAGATTCGCGCATGCGCAGTTGTTTTTTTTTCGCTCGCGTTACCGTCTCCTGTGCGTACCGTCTCGTTGCTAAAGCGCCCTAGTGACTATACAGGGGGCAGGTTCTGCCCTCCCCCTCTCTTTTACGATCATGAAAACGATGATAGAAAAGTTTACCTCTGACTTCATTCCTCTGGATTTGTCTGGCTTGAGAGAGTTTCTCAGGCAGGGCAAGATCATCTCTTAAAGGAGTATAGTCATAACGAGTGCAACGTCTATAACAAATCACATTGAAAGAAAAAAACAAGAACAGATTATGCAAGCAATAAGTTACAGGAAAGAAACCCAATTTACAAAAAAAAATGATAGATCACAATAAATAATGTAATTGTACTTTCTATTATCCAAAAATTACTCCTCTTCCCATCTCCCTTCATCCTTTTTGCTATCCCTCCCCCTTCTCTTCTCCTTCCCTCCTTCTATCAAAGTTTAAAAAGTAGCATAACAGGTGCAAAATTTTATTTTGTTTTAAATAGACATAGAAATTATGATGGTTACTACACATCATCTTACTGTAAATATGAATGTACAGTGTACCATATATCTATCTTGTCAAATAACCAAATTCTCTATAATTATTCAAATGCCCCATTTGGATTTTAAATCTTATCTGAATTTGATACAAATATTTGCATTTATTGTATTTCACTGTCTTACCTGTATAACTTGTAGGCTAAGAAGATCAGAAGAAGAAGCACTATGAAAGACACGATCCCAATGAGTATCGGTAACTGTGGAAAAGGTATGAAAGAGCTTTAATATATTTGATAAATGATAGCTGTGCAATATCAATCCAGGGTAACTTATGTCTGCATGCCTACATAAAGTACTAGATCTATTGATAAAGAGAGTGAGAAAGAGAGGGCGGGAGGGAGGGAGGGAGGGAGGGAGGGAGGGAGGGAGAGAGAGAGAGGGAGGGAGAGAGAGAGAGAGGGGGGGGGGGAGGGTCTTTGAAGTGAGCTTTGTGTGAAATGTCTCTTTTTTAAATCTCTGTCTTGCCCCTTTCGAAACACCAAGGTGTACTTTTTATATTCAAAATATTAGGCCAGGACAAATGTTGAACTTTGCACCATCCATTATCGATGAGATAACAATTACCTATACAAAATCAAACAAAAGTATTACAAAACACAGAAATCAAATACTCCCATACAGCATACACTGTAGTCCATAGTGCACAGGATAACTGTATTCTATCTGAAAATGAATTGCTAGTGACATTCATAAATACAGGGTATCATCTTTTTCAAGCTGTTGAAATCTATTCAAATACTTTAATGTCTCTTTATATATTTACATTCAGCTCATGACCTCCATACCCCTCTCCGCCTTCACATAGTATCCACTCTCAATGTTGTCATTTCCACATCCTGTTTTTTCTATTTCATTCCACTTCACATGGTCCTATTGTTTGATTCTCATTTATATTCAGAAGATCTCATGATCACCCTTCCATACTGTCTATTGGTTTTTCCTTCTCCCTAAGTTCTCCCACAAATTTTATATTGTACTACTAGTACTCCATTTACTGTTGTTTGTGACTGGTGTTTAATTCATGATGTGACTTATGTTCTGATCTGTTAAAATTGAGTTTATCTGGTAAAGTCAGTGGAATGTTCACAGGATCTCATCTCAGCAAGACATCATTTATTTTAGTCTATTTCAAATACAATTAAGATAATTGCTCATTTATTTTGGAAGACAGTCTCTATTATTGGAGGCAAAACTGACAGGACAGCATGATTAGGAACAACACCAGCAACATGGCCAACTTAGAGTTAGATAAACTTGTAGATGAACAAGTAACTCTATTAAAGTATTATGCTAGCTTAGTTCAAGCAAGAGTCTGGAAATTGGAAACTTGTTTAGCTTGCCAACACACTCATTGTTTTAAAAACTGTAAGATTCCTTAAGATTTAGGGCCCCCTGCCATCCAAATACAAGTTTATTCCTGTTGGTCTGTAGTCCTGACTACATCTCATATTTTGATATGTAAACTTCTGAATGTGTTTCATAGATCTCATTCCCCTTGAGTCATCACCTGTCAGTCCTCAATGAGCTAACTTGAGAAAGTGGTATGTAACTTAGCAAAAGTTGACCACCTGTTACAATGACAACAATAGCAACATGTAAGTTGCTATGTCAGACATGGCACAAAAAAGACGAAAGACTTGATGCATGGCTGATCGTCAACAAAACAAAGTTAAGTCTTTTGTGAACTCCGTTTGTTGCTAGGGCGGGCAGCCAATGAAAACAAATTTGTTTAACCAAATTATGGAAATGCACGCAACAGAACTTTGTTATCCCTGGCTCATTCTTCCCGATCGAGGTGTCATATGAAAGGGCAGAAAATGAACTGTCTAGAAATGTGATTTTCTCTTTGAAATTCAGATACAGCCCCTCCAAATGACTTTTTGGTACCCTCTCTTCAAATTGTGACTCAGTTTCGAACCTGCGTCCTCGGCTGAATCAGTTTGTAACTTCCACTTTTAGCTAGATTACAGGCGCACGCCACAACGGTGCATAACTTGTGATTTATATCTAAATATGAAAAAATGGTTAAGAAAAGATAATTCAAACTCGCAAGAGTATCACTGTGATCACAGTGCTAGTGTACTTTCGCACATGTACAGCCATTGGGTGGGCTTCATTCCGCCAAACGCATTAATTGGTCTCCTCATACACATGACTGTACTTGTGTGTGACTGAATGAAGCAAGTCTTGTGCGAAAGTGCATTAGCCCATTAGCCCCCTCGAGATCACTGCTGTTTGAGTTTGCAAATCCTAATTCATAATCCAAATTTCAATCAACTGATCAACTCAAATCAAACAAAGTTTCTCAAAGTCAAACAATAAAATTATCTTGGTAAAACCTTATCACAGCAGCTTGGCAAAAGACGGTAAAGTGCAGGGCCCTCAGCTCATGGAGAGTAGAATTGATACCGATGAGGCTACCCCGGGTAAACAAGATTATGAATATTATTATGTCAACTAGCAGGACCCGTGGAAAATCCACGGGATTCTAGGGGAGGGGGCCAAATAGATAGATAGAGGCCTATGTGCTATCCAAAAAAAAATTTAGATTATCTTTATATAGAGAATTTTTATAATATATGCTGTTTGACCATGAATGGCGCATCGTAAAACAAACTATGTCAGATAGGATCTCGATAATTACGATTTATTTGCATTATTATTGTTGTGATTTCAATGTAGTTTCATGAAAAGACTACATATGCAGAGGCTTGGATTATGATTATGTTGGCATTGTTCACAAAATGTGTATAATTATTTTCAAAGTAAAGATTTTACGCGAAAAATCGGACGGTTTGTGCACAAATTGACTCGACTGTTTGTGGGACTGTGAGCGCAGAATCCAGTGAAAGATTTTTTTTGTTCGGGGACTCGATATATATCAAATTTTGGGAAAATTTTTGGGGGCTACTTTTTTATCTTTCGGGGGCTCATTTTTCTTGGGCTAATTTTTTATTAATTCATTTAAAGATGCAGTTTGTTTAGTTTAGTAGCGTAGTGTTACGTAAAAAAGGCGTACTTTCTGCGTCAAGTTTCTACGCCGAAAGTACGCGAATTTTGTTAAACATATCAAATTGTTTGCGTCCATCTTGCGTACTTTTTTGTGTCCCTCAGGGTATAGTAACGTAGGCCAGCGTACTCTCAGCTCAGCGTAGTTGGTACGCAACTCTACTATGGACCCCACGCCAATTAGTGATCGACCTGCCAGTGTCACAAATAAGGCATTAGAAATATGCTCATCTGACCGTAATTAAATGCCTAAAACCCCTGAGCTTTCAGGGGTTCAGCCCTTTGTACCCGTGGACACCACGCCTGCACTCAAATCGCTTTGAGTTACCTGACCCCCCCCCCCCCATACTTCAAAAATTGATTTGATGCAAGAACTGTATCATACTAAAAGTATTATCATGTTTTTAAACGACCATGAGGACCGTCTGATTTTCTTGTGAAAACTTTACTTTGAAAAATAATTATCGAAATTCAGTATACAACTATACATGGCCAGAATAATCACAATCTAAGCCCAGGTTTCATACATCTATTCACGAAACTATATTGAAGTCGGGGCAATAATAGCAATTTCAAAGTGTTGTTTAGACTCTCCTCACACCACGGATAGGCCTGGCTACTCCGGTCACCGCTACTCCATCATGCTCACACACTCAGCTCCGACAGCACCGCCGACAGCAGCGCTCAACTGCCGTGGCAATACACTGTGGACTCAAGGCAGTTTGCAACTGAACTGTCACGTGAAGGCGTACTATATCACAGATCTATTTGCGCTATTCTTGTTGTGATTTCGATGTAGTTTTCATGAAAAGACCAATAAAACAGAAGCTTGGACTATGATTATGTTGGCATAGATCACAGAATTTGTATAATTATTTTCAGAGTAAAGATTTTACGTGAAAATAGGTCCATGGTTTGCGCCAGTTGTCGCAATCGCCTCGACTCGAATCGACTGTGGTGTGTGCATGTGTGTGACCTGAGAGCGTGTAATACACGTACACTATGGGCGCCTGGCCTACAAAGCATATATCCTATAGAAAGACGCATAACACGGGTCAGCTCAACCCGTTGAGCGTACATATTGGCTACATCCCATCACCCGGGTGAGTCGTCTGTTGATGTGTATTTCTCTTACACGCTACAAAGCGAATCCTATAGCAAGAGGTCTTACTCAGGATACGCCGCAGCCTTTTACAATAAGACTTGCTACACCCGTTGACGCGAGTGGATTCTCGTCCATCGTGTGTCTCTTCGTCTCTCTTTGATAATTAGACAGAGGGCGGGTGCACGCCTTGCGGACTCGCTCTCGCGGGTTCGTCGCCTCCTCGCAATCCACGACGCCCGCCGTGCTCTCGTCCGCCCGTCATCCCCGGCACCCCGAAACCGCGTTTAACGGCGTGGACGTCGATCGCGGGGTCGACGTGGCACGCGGGTTACGGGAGACAGGCCTCGTGGAATTGTGCCGCCCTCCCCGCGCCACGGCGGAGGCGGGCGGGGTCGGGGAAAGACGTTTTTGAGGAACCGTTTTGGCCCGTGTTGGACCCCCCGCGGCGATTTTGCGTATTAGTAATATAGATGCCATATGCTTGGTTTTACTGACAGAAATAACCGTCTGATATGGGTCATTTCTTTAGTAAAACTGACATTTGTTGACATTCCCCATAACCGGGGGTCTAGTGGAGCCAGACGTAGTCTCAGTGGAACAACCGACGATATAGAGAGACTGAAGCTTTTGGTCTAGCTTGGTTTAATAAATTCGGATATGATTATATTTTTACTAACGAAAATATACATTGACGGGACTAAACACAACATAATGATTAAATACATCATCAATTACTAAACCATAAACGCAATACGAACCCATATATGTTCCTGCAGGTAATTCATTGCTGATACTGCCATTTTCTCCGTCAACTAAAAAATATCATACTAGCATTGCCTGATTTTGGTTATCCAGGAAAAGCAGATTGTAAGGTGACGGCTTTCGCTTTCGACGCTCCTGGAATCAGCTGCTGATCTTCGATCGCATTATATCAATACAAACAAAACCCTTGCGATATGCATCATATCATGTGACTGGTTGGCGCATAGTCAAATTATGAGTCCAGCGCGTGAGCTCCAAGAGTTATGGAGAGTTAATACAAAAAATACTTGTAAATGTCGAGTTTGTCGAGATTTTAAATATGAACTGATACTTAAAGGCTTATTTTTCTACTACACATGCTAGACCGAGTATCAGATGGTTTGATATAAAAACTGGATTAAACATTATTGTGAAGGGTGCTCCTCATCTGATGGTATATTATGACAAAGACCGACACACAAAAGAGTAGGAAAACATAATAGAAAAGCCCAGGACTTGACCTGATGATGATCCATCCAGGACAGTTAACGTAAAAAGATATAAATCATTAGAAATAGCTTTTAATAATTGGCATGATAGTTATACAGATATAAAGGAAGCCATATGTAATGTGATAAATGAAAATAGTAAATAGTCAAGTTCTTCTTTTTTCACTAATTAAACCCCCCAAAAATGAATGTTGAGATAATTAATGACTTTTCAGGACATAAAATGGGTAATCCAGATAAATCGTAATTCAATCCTGACACTGTAACCATGCTATTTAGACTCAAGCCCCTTGTTTAAAATGAATTTGACATATGCTTATGTTGTTGGAGCTACAGAAGAAGAAAACAACAAGCAAATAAACAACAAACTGCAAGATATATTGTTATACATTATCATATCATTTATTAATTTTAGTATTGCCATGAGAGTACTGATACAAAACAATTAATAACTATTTGCACAAAATTGTTCTTTTCTCTGCTTTCATGCAAGTGGAATCTCTAGCTAGGCTCTCTCTCTCTCTCTCTCTCTCTCTCTCTTTCCTATCCCTTAAGCCATCAATCCCTCTCTTTTCTTTCTCTCTTCCTATATATCCCTTTCACAGAATAATTAGAAGTCAAATAAACAGAGCTATGAATATGAACTAAAAAAGTGCAACAATTCATGTTAGGGGGTAATTAATCCCAAATTGCAAAAATAATTTCTTTTGAGGGGACTACATGATTGTCTTTTTCATAAAAATCATAAAAATTTCACAGAAAAGATTGTCTTTTCCATAAAAAAATCAGGATGCGCAGCCTATAAGTGTGTAATACCATAAATAACTGATATTGCATCATGATGAACAATACTTTTGTTTAATGAATGATTATAAAATAATCTCATGAAATCATACTAGTAATAGATGTACATGAACTTGATTAACTTAAAGCCACACTGTACTAGAAGCATTACTGCAAAATCCCTATAGAGATCCTATATAAGAAAACTAGAGCAATGATGCACTACGCATACCACACACGCATTGCTGCTGTGCTGAATTGAATAGGCCTTGCACCATCTTAAACTCAGCGTCCTGCCTGGATTACAACATGTGACACCATGGGAACGAGTTGAATGAATCACTTTTCTATGCTATTTTCCTTGGTTTGTACCACTATATGCAAATTAAAACTCTCATGGCTATATATCGGTATGCTCGTCTCATACAGTGTATTATTTACCATTTACTTATTTTCCCCTAGATATAGTGGCTAGAACATGCAGATTGCTACATACATACATACATATTTCCCAATGAGTAGTATTATTGTCATCTGGACTCAGTGAAGTAGGGAAACCCCCCAAAAAATGCCCTTTTTACTTAATTAGAATAAAAATAAATTAGAAGAAAAATTGCACATTTCTGAAGCAAAAAGGTTACTTTGGGGTTACTTAGTTGAAAAAAGTGGAGGAGGGTGCACTCTACCTTCTTTTCAATTGGTTCCCCAAAAGTGTTATTTTTTTTTCTTCGGAGATCAAAATGGAGAGAGGCACTTAATTATCAACAACAAAAAAGGGGGATACTTCTTGGAGCAAAACTGGCACTTTGGCGGTACTTAATTGAAAAAGTGCCATTTTTCCTTCTGAGATAAAAAGATGCAACTATAGGGAAAAGGACAATAAGTTGGGGCATATTTCCTTCTGTCTACAAAGGGGGAATTAGGTATTGGTATACACAATGTTGGCAAGTTGACCATGAGATGGCGCTGTGCAATAAACAGTACGCTGAGACAGAAAGTTCATCAGTTCAGTATCGCTTTAAATCTCTAAACATGTATTCAAACATCAGAATGTTCCTATTTCACACTCAGGTATACTGCCCTGTTGGCCACCAATGTATAAAGCAATTACATGTTACTCGGTGGATTCTCTTTACTGTTGCAGCAATATATGAATTTATATGTATTTGTACTATACTAGAATTAGACAACATGTATTATTGTTAATTATTATTGATCACTTTCAATCATTGACAGAATCTGATCGAAAATTATTATCAATACTGTCAAGATGCATGATTTAATTGAAAAATATTAGTCACTGTTGAGCATAATACAAAATCTATTTTATTATCTTCGAACTATCAATTCCACATTATATTTGGTCTCAAACACAGACAAAGCCTATTATAAAGGCAATAATGTACCATCAGTTTACCATAAAAAAGACACATTCAGTACAAAAATCTTAAGTGTATTAATGCAAAGCACATATACAATTATCTAAATGTAAACCAGGAGTGGTATTCTGAAAACTATTTTGTATTCAAGTTTATTGAGAAGTATTTAACAAAATGTATAATAAATAAAAGATATGATGCCTCACTGTAAATGACTGTCCATAAGTGAATGCTTACATGAATGATTCTTAAAGACATCTGTTCAAACCGTAACGAAAGATGAAATCATTTTCAAAATACCACCAAGTTAGTTTCTTTGGTAGATACAACAACAAAAAAGAAAGAAAATCAACATTTCAGAGAAATAGCAAGATATGAATCATAAATATACATACAATGCATTACAAAATTAAAGGCAAATAAACGAAAAAGTTTCGCACATAATGATATTACATACCGGTACAGCAAAATATTAAAAACAAAAAATAAAGAAAGCAAGTCATTTATATTTCAAAATGGAATGGAAGAAAAATGGACAATATATAGGTGTCATATACATCATTTCATTTAATGTGTGCTTTCAAGCAATGAATTAGAACTTGGGTTCAAACTAAATTACTGTAAATATTTCACAGCTTGCTTTAAAGAGTGAAACTGATTTCACTTTAACTATGAGCACGACCACTTGTTTTTTAAGCTGCATACCATATCAAGCATACCATATCAAGCACAAACAACACCTGAAAGCACTGAATGGCTGGCATCAAGTATTTTCAAAACCTACACAATAGTGTGTTTTGGGGAGAAACTTCTCCATTTCAGTAAAACCACTAAGTAGTTCATCTAAGTCTTGAAAAGTGTAAAAAAAGAAACATTAATTATGTTGTTGATTCCCTAAGAGATAGTGCAGAATTATACTCTGACACTAATAACTGTAACATAGAGGCGTATTGTAACTAGAAACTACACATCATTATTTTCTTCAAAATTTAGTTGAAAATATTATGAATTGTCTAGAAATTGCTCATATGAAAGTCTACATAAAAACTGTTAACAATTCTATATCTACTAAACAGCATTCGAATGAAATTCAATTTTGATAAAGTGTATTTCATTTATTCAATTGCATCAAGATTAGATATTTGATCAGTCACAAATATACAGTAATTATAGGAGTATCAAAAGTCAAGACTGCATAGATAAAAAATAACATATTTCTAATTTACTACACAGTACATATTGCTTCAAATACCAGTTGCAAATAACTCAGCTAAATGCAAATAGTACTCTCTCTGGATTTCTACAATAGTAAATAGTAAATATGTAAATAGACAAACATACATCATGTTCAAGGAAATAGTGGATATAGATTTTTTTGCTTAAGTATGAAAATTATTAACTGTGACGTTAGAAGCAATTGACCCTATGAGGGCGCTATTTATTTGCAGCACATATTTCCACATGTGGAAGTACAGGGGGAGATTTTGAACTCTGGACATATCATCCTGTTTTTCATGAGCCCAACATTGTTGAATTGAATATTGCATCTATATTTGTTCTACTAGACAATTGATTGTTTTATATATTTATTAAATTGCAGGTTGAACCACTTGCTACCATCCATGCGCATGGTCTCTACTTAAATGAGCAGTCACCATTGTGGTTTACTTTGTCGTAGAGGTCGGGATTCCTAATATAAACGTCACAGCTGCTTTTGATACATAAAACATGTTGGTCCTAAAATGGCCGTGGCCTCAACGTACAGTGAGCTTTACTCTTGTCCCCATCATTAGTCATCTTTATAGTCTTGTTCATTCAATCTCACTTTCATAATCACTCTTTAATCAAAGTAAAGTCTCAAAATTACTGCTCAGTCTCTGAGTTAGTACCGTACGTCTCCTGCTTCATCTAGTGATGCGGCTGCATGTCTACGACTACCAGCTCTGCTCTCAACTTCTCCCTGGGATGCGTTTTCTTTGGCTTCCATGAGAGATGTGCTTCACTTTTGTCCACATCCTGGGTTGTTCTTTGTCTTGTTAATTTAATATAATCTTAAAAAGCCTAGGATGATTTTTCTTTGGCTTCCATGAGCGATGCATGTGCTTCACTTTTGTCCACATCCTAGGTTAATGTTCTTTGTTTTGTTCATTTAATATCATCTAAAAAAGAAAAATGTCCACATCACTAATCATTTTCAGAGTCGCTTCCGTCTCCTGCCTCATCATGCGATGATACAGATGCTTCTCTCTGACTACCGGCTCTGCTCTTAACTTCCCCGTGAGATGATGTGCTGGCTTCCATGTTTGACGAGCTGTTATGATGCTGGATGGCTCTTTGGGCTGCCTGCCACGTCTCCACCAGCTGGTCGTAGATCAGATTCCGTCGGAGCATGCCGCCAAACAGCACCGGTTTGTCTGCTGAGGAGAGGTGGATCTCTATGGACATGCCATTACCTGGTAGGAAGTTAAAAGGTTTGGCCTGGGCATAGAGAAAAGAGGGGTTGAATGTCAGAGTACCAGGAGAATGAGAGGGAGAGGGAGAGAGAGATAGAGGGAGAGGGAGAGAGAGAGAGAGAGAGATAGAGGGATAGGGAGAGAGCGGGGGAGGATGGGGTTAAGACGTTAAGAGGAGAACGGTCTAAAGAAAGTCTTTTATCATCATAGATTTTCATATTACTAATAAAAAACAACATCTTATCATAAGGGGGGAAAAAGGAGCTATGATGGCTCAATGGGTAGGTATTTGATAACGGCAGGTCCAAAGTTCCAACTATGTCAGTACCCTAGTGCCCTATCAAAGATAAGGCATGATCACCAAATACTCTTTTTTCCTCAAGAATGACTAAAGCTAGACAGGTCCTTTCAATGAGCGAACACATTCTTAATTTCTAGCCAGTAAAATGCCATAAAAACATCAAATTATACATAAAATATGAGGTAAACTATTGCCTGAATTACCTTTTCAATTCTAAGGATGTCTTTCAGGGGTATCAGCATGTTGCCTTCTTTGGTCAATCTAGACTTCTCAAAGCATAGGAAACTATAAGAAGGGAGTAAAAAGAATATAACATAAACAAATTTCAACTTCCGTACTCATTCCATCTTTACAATCTTCTTCTTCTTCAAGATAATCTGCCTCCTTCAATACTGAAGATTCTTGCAGATGCCGTATACTCGGCCTGATTGGGGTGTGCAGGTGGACCATTACACCGGGGTTTCCCCCTACTCTTATACGAATAGTGCAATGGGTTCTTAATGTGCAAGGGTGGTGACTCTCCTGTACACGGGGCCTTCATTTAACGTCCTATCCGAGGGACGAAGTGCTTTTCTACTTGACATAACCTGCGTCTATGAACAAGGGAAGGGGCACGTTAACACACAACGCAATCTTCAGTCCTCCGCCTGGGTGGGAGTCGAACCCGGGATCTTTGGTTTGACAGGCAGACGCTTTACCGACTGAGCCAACTCGCCTCCTTGGCATACTTGTTAAAATCAAATTTGATATCTTTTTGTAGTTGATAAACAATCTTTGTTAAAGTAGCATTTCATACAATTTTATAAGAGTTTAATAAAGTAACACATTAAGACGTGAACATTTTATTCTCACAAAATGCAAGTATTAAGAGGAAAATCAGATTAAATTCGAAAACCAGATACTATTTCAGCATACTCTCACAACTCTGTCACATTTTATGTGTATCAAATTTGGAAGAGGATTGACAATGAATACAGAAGTTCATTTGTGATATTCACAACACATTCAGCCTTTTACTGCAGCAATTTCCTTGTCAGAAGTGATTTTTTTCAAAGTTACCTCTTTGTAAGATAAAATCTGCCATTCTTGAAAGCTCCTGTAACAGTATTCTTGCTGATCAATGTACAGCGCTTGCCCTCCTTCCATCCTATCAATACAAAATACCATGAATAAAGAAATGTCTTGTTTTCAAAGATTAGTGACCATTTGTGGATTGTGCTAGCAAAGTCTTAGGGTACAGCAATAAACAAATTCTATTTCTCACTTAGACTTCAAATCAGAACATAAAAATGCATAAAAGCCTTCAAACATTCTCTTCTTTTTCTTTTATAGAAATAAATCCATGACTTTGGTATACAACATTATGACATAGCATATCATTTCATATATTGGGCATTTATTTAAGTTCATTATCTTAAATTGTACAATTGTTGGCTTCTAATATATAGTTATGATCAAATAACAATGATTTATTATTTGCAAATGATCTTTCTATAGTTTACATTATCAACGATATTATAGTAAACTAAAAGATGGTTACCAAACAAACAAAAAAGTAGAAGAGTCGAGGTCTCTTTTCTTTCCAGTAACAAAAAAAAAAAAAAAAATGGCTTTGAGGGGAAAATGAAGGTAATTTAAGAAAAATGTAAATAAAAGAGAGGAAAGGAAAACTATATAAAACTACGTTTGACTCATTTTTGCTCACCTGGTAGGGGTTGTTCAGATTCAGGCACATTGAATGTCTCTGCAAATGCTTTGAACCTCTTACTTGCAGGTTCTGGGTCCTGTGTCTCTTCTCCATTGAACCGGATAGTTATACCCTCAATATCTGGGACTAGGAACTAACAAAAGGATAGAGAGATTTGAAAATCCTTGTAGAGATTCATATATTGAACAGTAGTTGAACTTTCCTGACAATACTCCAGGAATACAATTATTGCAAAGAATTTGAAGGAATAACTTAACAGAAATTTCAGTATCCTAATGTATTGCCTCTAGATATCACTGTTCTCATTGTGTAATATGTCATTGTAACATTCAAAAGGTGATGTTTAAGTCTGTTAGAAATTGCCTTTATGTATTTTCTTTCATGTTTTGGGGAACACTTGTTTTATTTTTGCTTGTGCTCATGATTCCTCGTAGGTTTGATTCTCCTATTTTTATGATGACAAAAGAAGAGTGATCGAGAGCGAACAAAAAAAGAATGCTATCACTATCTTAATAAGCTAAGGGCAGAATATCTAACAAAACAAGTTTTTAAATTCTCATTGCTTTTTCCTTTCCTTCCTTGTCGAAGCATATATATCAACATACATTTAGTTTCAATGAAATAAAGTAGATCCAAAATCATTTACAATAAAACAAGGAAAGATGAAATCTTCTTTTATCTCTTGAAAGACAATATGTGACAACAGGTGTAAACTTAATCTCATGGAATAAAAGAGCTTCTAAAGTTGAACAGAAACTAAATACAGACAGACAGACAGACAAACAGACAGGCACAGAGACAGACACACGCACAGAAAAACAATAACAGTGCATGCTTACCTGCTGGGTTTCTTCAATTGCACGTCTATGTTCAAGTTCTGCAGCTGTTGGTACTTCCTTGAATATCTTCTCCTCAAAACTGTACTTGGCCTTCAGACGAGGATATTTCTTTAGCACCCAATTGACGAGGAATATCTTCACACCAAGAATTAGACCTAGGAAGATGGCATAGTACAGATGAGGGTCATTATCAGTTGGTGCTATGGCAGTATCACTCATGCATGTAATGAGAATGAACCCCAGTCATAGTCATACCTATGACATTGTTTTGTCCACAGCAATATCTAGCCATTACTAAAACATTTCTTCATGTTTGGAATGTGCTAATGCATATGATGGAAATCAGGGATCAATCTACATTGCACTTAAATTAGCTAATACGCATGTCAGAGGAATGAGAACACAGATCTATGGAATGTCAAGTGGAGTGCCAAGCGGAGTGCCATTTCATCAAGAAAATACTGTGCGTCTAAAACAAACTTAAAAATTACATGTACAAGATAACTTGTTTAAGGTAAAGATGTTGAGACTTGGCACTCTATACATCAGTAGACTAATTCAACTTTAATATTCAGTGAAGTTTCAAGCTTGGCCCAAGTTAGTCCTCTTCTGCAAGTAATTGGCCACTGAGTATAAATTTTTATGCAATTGTCAACTGTTCATGCTACTTTTAGATATGAAAGTGATCCTACTTACCAAGCATTGTGAGTAGGGTAGACCCTGATATAAATAATGAAGCTACAAACGCAACCATTAGATTGGTATACAGCTTCTTTGTCAGAGCAGGATTTGTCCAATACAAGAAGCTACAATAATAAATATTAAAAAACAATTATATATCATAAACATGTATCATAGTATCAGGAGCAAACTCTTCTATTTCTATATTGCTGTTTTAATAGTTCAGTTTGAAATAAACTATAATATAATATAATTACAAAATAATGCCTCTGGTGGATGGAGGCATAACAATTGCATAGTTTATGAGAAATTTTAAAATCAAAGTTTGCATTCTCTGTTGTTTTGTGTTTATAACACCATTGTCAAATTTCCCATCATGGGAGAAAAAAAGCTAAACTTTACTATTAACTATTAAACTTACAAACAATAATTGTGTAAAAAAAATGCATTTCAATAACAGTTTACAACATCATATACTACATCAAAGGTAAGAATGACATGTCGAAATATCTAGGGTACCATTTCCACTCCTTAATTCTTTATTTTATTCTGTAAAGCGCATGTGTTAGCACTATACCAAAAACATTTTTGTTTAAATTATTATTGTTATCATTGTCATTTAAACGGAAAAATATATATAAAAGACAGGTGTGAACTCACTTATGTATCTTTTCCATCTGATCAGCCAAACTACCCAAGATATTCTGTACTCTCCTACTGACATGTAACACCAGCTGAAACCTGTCTGACATAGACAGAGGGGGCCTTTCATCGGGTGTCTGCATGGAGAGAGAGAGAGAGAGGGGGGATGAGAGAGAGAGGGAGACGAGAAAGAGAGGGAGGGAGAGAGAGAGGGGGGAGAGGGGGAGGGAGAGAGAAAGAGAGAGAAAGCAAGAGAGAGAGAGAGAAAGAGAGTTAGTGAGAGAAATAGTTTCAAGTATTTACCTCTACCATACCACCAAGTTCAAAACAAAATACGAAGAAGAATTCATTTTAAACATGCTTCCTTTTCACTGTTTATCTATATAAACAAGGGAAACGCTCTCAGCGGTCTCGCCTGCATAATGCAAATCAATATGATAAACCAGAACGTCAATGACGTAGCGCTCATCCGCATCTCGCAACAACAAATATCCTAAATTTTATGTGGTACACTTTTGAACTGGTCAAAAAATAAAAATTTGATGCCCTGGAAGGGACATAATTTCATTTCATTTGCATAAAGTACCATAAATAATTAATGGAGCAAAATCTCACAATTCTGTGTAGAAGTTTAGTGTTCCAAATTTAGCTCTACCAGATAAGACAAACCAAATCAAAATCGGTCAACAAATGAGGGAGAATAAGCAATTTTTGTTATTTTTGGAATAAATTTGCATAAATTACCATTATTAATTAATGGAGAACAATTTCAAAATTTGGTGTAGAAGTTTAGTGTACCAAAGTTAGCTCTACCAGATAAAGCAAACCAAATCCAAATCGGTCGAGAAATGAAGGAGAAGAAGCATTTTTTGTGATTTCGAATAAATTTGCATAAATTAGCATAGATAATGAATTTCACGATCCTGTGTAGAAGTTTTAAACCCCCCTCCTAGCCCTATCATATGAAACAATCAGAATCAAAATCGGTTGAAAAATAACGAAGAAGAATCATTTTGAAAATCTTGATGTTGATGCCACAACAAAGTCCAAGTTTGTTGACCTTAAATGACATTTGACCTTAACTTAGTGACCTGATGATTGGGGCGACTTGATAACCCTATAGTCCAAGTTTCATTGACTAAGAACTTATACTTTCAAAATTATATCAAAAATTCAAAAACTTAACCTTAGGTTAAGTTTTCGATGATGATGCTACAACATAGTCCAAGTCTGTTGACCTGAAATGACCTTTGACCTTGACTTTGTGATCTGAAATTCTACTCACATGATTGGGGATACTTGATTACCCTATAGTCAAAGTTTCATTGACTAAGAACCTAAACTTTAAAAATTATATCAAAAATTCAAAAACTTAACCTTAGGTTAAGTTTTTGATGTTGACGCCATCGCCGTCGCCGTCGCCGTCGCCGCCGTCACCGGAAAAGCGGCGCCTATGTCTCGCTTTTTGCTACGCAGGCGAGACAAAAAGTATGCCATGCTATCAAATACATGTATCATAATCTATTCATATCTTTATTTTTCAAAAAGAGAGATCAGCATGTCTTTTTTCTCAAAATGTAATATCCTGGTTTCAAATTTGGACTGTATATTAAGCAGCATTATGCATCTACAGGGTTAATGATAGCAATGTTTTAAACATATAAATGTTTCCATCTATTCTATTTGTTTTCCTTTTTCTCAGTTCTTCAGTGATATGAACAAACTGTACAATAATCTCTTACATATGAAATGAATCTCCCAATTGCCTCTTGCGACATTATAATACTACCGACTACATACCAGCAAAATAACTAAGTTATTCAAGAAACATACGTTATGTGCATCAATGAAGTATGATAATGATATCAATTTAACAACCACAATGACATCATATGCTTTCAAATTGCCTTGATAGTTTCAAGGCCATTTTCACGCAAAATTTGTTCCTAATAGTTTTAAATTAAGTACTGGTAGTAAATGTAAATGTATGTGGCTGAGTCATTAGGCATGACAATGATTATATAGAACTTACCACTTCCACTAGATGATATGGAAGAAGTGAAAATTGAATAGTCCAGCCCCTAAAAGATAGAAAATAAGTTTCATAGTTTATTGATCACATATCTATCGCAGATTCTCAATAACAGAGATATTTATATGCAAGCAATATAAAAGTTGATGATACCCTTTCCACTATTCAGTTTTATACACTGTATACCACTGGGAACTCCTTTTATATATAAACATATTTGTCTATAAAAAATCAAGGTTTGCTTTTATTATTGTCCTTGAAATATTTTGAGGGAATTTTCTAACATAGTATTGTCTTTCAAATGTCGTTGGAATTTAACCTTTTCATGTTTTGGCCCTGCAAATGGGACATAAACCTTTAAGAGAAACATAGCTGACTCTACTAGGAATGGAGTACAAGAGGAATGGAGTACAAGAGGGCTGAAAATATGAGAAAAAAACAACAACAACAAGAAAAAGCATAAACAATAAACAAAAAACAAATAACAACAAAATCAAGCACAACAAAACTAATAGACTATATTTCCAACTGAATCATTGCCATTACAGTTTGCATTGGCCAAACAATGCATTTATAGGACACAAATACAAACAAAGTTTTATATGTTTGGCAAGGTTTTTTTTAATGGGATTATTACCTCGAGATGAAGTAGGTAGTAGTAAGGTACCATAGCAATAATCCAAGCAGTACTGTAGCACTCCAGCCTCTCCATACCACATACATGTACAACTACGGGGAGAGAAAATTAGGATGATAACATAATATGTAAAAGATTAATCACACATAGAATATAAAAATGCTATTTCTTCTAAAGGTAATGTGACTGATAGACAAAAATAAGTTCTCTACCAGATTTGTAATGAATAGTTCAGTTTAGACTGTAGGCTGATTTCAACAATAGTCACTACCAAAAAAAGTAAATGTTGCATTTCAAATTATGTAACAAAACAAGAAATCATAAAACTGAATCCATTTGTAACAGCTTCAAAACAACATGGTTTCCAGTAACGTCTCTATTGGACTTTGTTGCATTAAATGTACCAGAAGATCCAAAAACTGAATGGTGAGAGAAAGTATTTTCTGAGAGAAATTTGTAGAGGAAATACCTGTTATCATTTTGAATACCGGTATATGTATTAATTGTGTTACAGCATTTTTCCCTCTTATTCTATAATATCATGTATTTTATTCAGCAAATCAATTCCATATTCTACTCTATATTTACTCCATTCTATAAATTAGTATGTTCTCTATTGTATTGTGAAGATCTATTTCGTAAATTAATCCTGCCATGACATGCACTTACAACGAATGCGAGGAAAGTGTTTGAAGCTGATTTCCAGGACACAAGGGCAGATATTGCTTTACAAAATAGGAGTCCAGGCTCGTATCCGGCTTCTACATGAACAATAGTGAAAATAATAAGATAAACAAAATGAAAAGTTATTAAAATTGAGTTTTAAAATTAATCACAGGAAATAAACAGTGTTGAAAAACGTTGGAGAAATGTACAGATTTTAGTGTAAAACCAATGTGTATTTTCCCCTGATTAGGGGGATTCAATTAACTGTAAAATTTAATCTGCATGGGAACAAGGGAAAGTTACAGAACTCTGTAGTCTCACAGCTGTTACACCTAATCAACATATTTTTATTTGTGTAAGAGGACTTCATAGTATTAAAGTTACACACCCTTTTTTGACTGAATGCATTACAGAATTTATTGTATCTAAAACAGAAAGATTTTTAAAATGAAATTATCAAAGTCAAATTTATACTGTATTTCTTTTTATGTTATGATGTTGTGCCAATGGCTTAAATGCTGTAAATATTGCAATAGTATATCCCTTAAAACCTGAATAAAGTGGTTTTATTCTTTCACATGCATCTGATAATAAGAATTTAGACATGTATATATATTTCCACAGTACTCATAACTTTGCTGAACATCACACAAATTGCCCTGATTAACGTTCCTCCATTTGTGATAAAAATTTAAAGGTCATACAGTGTACTTACGGAATCGTTTTAAATTCTCCTTCAATCTGTAATTTAAATAACAAAGAGCATGAATATATTTTTGAAAAACTTTTGTATTAGGATGAATATTAATAAATCAGGATTTTCCTATATCACTAACATTGCTTAAATTGTAATATTTATTTATATATTTCTATATATGCATTTATCTTTGTAACATGAAGGATACATGAGGTGAGAAAAAGAAACATCTGTATATTCAATAACCTTCACAATATTTGTAGATAAAGTACAGGTACTACTATTATATATTTTTTTTTGTGGGGGGGGGGTGGGGCACACTTCATCTTCAATGTACATGCAGCTCAGAGGAACCTACAGAATACAGAGTTTCAGTCATGTACCATGCGGTGTACACTTCATACTACCATCGATGATGTGTTTGTTACGTACATGTACTTCAGAAGTTAAACATACCTTGTACTAGTGCTGCATATTAAATCCTAAAATGCAAGTTTGCATGTTTAATCTTACAGTGCATATACATCCACAGACATGTAATTGCTATGCAATTCAGAATTCAAACATACCAGAGCCGCACTTCATCTGCATGTAAAATGCAAACTTTAATACGTATAAGCCTAATCAGCCATGTTTGTAACCCCCCCCCCCCCCATGTACTTTCCCTGTATAGCGAAACTGCAACCAATTACTAACATATCCACTGCAATTATGGGATATCATATGACAAGTCTTGTTTAATAAATGATAAGATCAGTTTTGTTATGCAGTCTAGATCACGTTGCCATCTACCATAATCTTTACAGTTATAACAACTTCCTATTGCAGACGGAATAATAATTGTATAATGAATTATGCAAAGCAATCTAATTCATTCTATAACATATCAAACAGTAAAGGATAGGATATTGGAATGACATGACATATACAAAATAACAATATAATATGAATACCTCGATCATGCAAAGAGAAAATTAATTACAATATTTTTCTCACAATCACAGCTCATGTATTATAACTTGGTTTCTGGGACACTGCTGCTAAAAAATGCTGATGAGAAACAATGGTTAGCAAATTAGACCTACATTAGTTGTAAACTTAACACATAGACAGAAAATTGATCTCAATTTACTATTCTAATACAGAGCTTTACTATTTTAAATAAAATGCAACAAAAAAACACTTAGAATAAAAAGCTGGATCTTTCTAGTTCTGTATTGTTGCACTCACTTCTTGACTGTAAGTTCATCGCCCTCTGTAGGGGCGTCGCTATCGCTCTCCTCTCCCTCCTCTGTGAAGTCGGCAAGGACAGAGAAGACGCGATCCAACATATTGTTCTGAAACCTCTCCCACCTGGTAGCGGGTGGTCCATCCACATCATCTGTCCAAGAAGAAATAATCAGAATTCAATTTTTAGTACCGGCTGGATTAATTGTCAATGAATATCTCAGAAGCTTACTACTGATGAATATGGTTCTATCATGGTTGGCATGAAATGAATGCTGTGCCCTGTCTTACAAAGAGTTGCTATTGGTCCCGACTGATCACAAGTCTTCTAATTAATTGCACACATAAAGCTTCCATCTTATTGTGAGATGTGATTAATATCAAGTTGCAATCAATTTAAAGCAATCACAAGTAACTGCTTGTATAATAAGGCCCTGATTCTTTTAAAAATACAAATTTATCTTTTCAATAAGACCAGGTTAATTTGATTATTCAAGTTACTGGTACTTATAATTTACATAAAAAGACCAAATTTTTATTCATATTATCATCATCATATATTTCATTCAATTTTGTTAATATATATGTTCTAAGAGAAGCAAAAAATAATCAGGATTCCAGGGTTCTGGCCACTCTTTATTTTCTCTGCGTTTTTACTTTGGCATTCAATACTTTTTCAAGGATAGCAATAGATTCACACTTTTGTCGCTAAAAATTCTATGTGTTATCACTATTTTGTTTTCTGAAAAACTGCAGGTTTTGTGCATCTGATGTTTACAGTACATAGAAATCAGCAACAAAACAATGATTTTCATGCATTTTGGAGATTAAGTTCAATGCATTTTAAACACTGTAGTAGGAATGTAATGGTCTAAGCTAACTCAGGACAGAAACTACCATAAATGGTTAGTTTTCAAAATCATAAAATTAGCTGTTTTTACAACCTTGTAATGAAGCAGACGCTGCAGGATCTGTTCCTTCATTCCCAATGCTTTCAGCATCAACAGAGACTTGACGCATGGACCTGTGAAAACATACAGTTACAGAAAACAAAAAGGACCATTATAAGCCAGATTATGACATTTCTAAGTCATAGTCAAATTGATGATGGTTTTACCTGCATGAAATACTATTGCCATTTTATTCTTGCTTTTCATGCCATTTTGGTTCATTATCACTTGTATCATATGATGTTTAAATGTCCGACAGTGACTTTAAGAAGATGGGAAGTACAAGTACTGTCTAATGTGAATTTGTGTTTGCTGCTACAATGAAAGGTGCCACTACAATCTTTCATCAAGAAAATTCAAGCTACTTTGAAAAGTGGTATAAATTTTAAATTTTTCTTCCATTCTTTCTTTCTTTCTTTCTTGTTAGTGAAGGTTCTAATTAATGTTAAATACATTGAGCTAAATTATCAAATAAAGAGGTGTGGATGCGTCGCGGTCTAGGGGATAAGTCATCAGGCTATGAAGCACATGGTACCAATACCTGCCATAGCATTAATGTTCTTTGGCAAGACATTTATCTATATTTGCCACTCTCCACTCAGGTGAAGTAAAAGGGTACCCAGTAGGAAAAAATTCCTTAAAATAATGCTTGCATAGCCCTTAAGAAAAACAGTATACACAATGTAATACTGATGAAGCTATCTTTTTTTTTATTAAAGAGACCATAGCTAGCTAGTTTTTTTTATTAAAGAGACCATGATATTGTTATTATGATTTTTAGAGAAATGAAGAGAAAATAAAAACCTATTATGCTTCATGCGATCCTCCAAAGTTTCACATCTCTTTGTCAGGTTCGAATTGGTCTCTCTTTCATCTTCAAGTCTCTTCAAGAGAGGAATGACATCACTGTTCTCATACTTTTGCAGCTTTTGAGCTGTAAGAGACAAGATAAATACAAAACCGTGTTCCAATCATTATCTTATTACGACTTAAAGTAAAAGAGCCTGAACCCTTAATCACTCTCTACAAACAAAGAAATAAAATGTAGACGATACTATTGCTATGGATTCGGATTTTTGTTTACTTGAATATTTGATATCAAAGCAATCTTAAAGAAAGAACAAAATAATGCACACAAAAGAAATACACTCTCTTTCATCAAATTAATTGTAAATTTCCAAAGCTAATCACTGAATATAATAACCATAACCAAAATTGGTCTTTGTAGAAAAGGTATTGGATCTGAGAAAATTTGGCCTAAATTGGTAAACAAAATAAACAAGACCTTTTATCTTTATCAGTGGTAGATGAATGTGTCCAGCACTGAAGACCTGACTCTTGTTTTTTTTAAACAGGAAATAACAAACAAACATTGTTTTAATACAATTTTCATAGTACTCACTAATCAAGTTCTATTGTTTATTGACACATGATTAAACCAAGCAATGGATAGTTGATTACCTAGTGTTTGGTTTTCGATCATAATATCGACCAGCTGTTCCTGCAGGTTCTCAAGCTGCATCTCATACACACTCTTCTGATCACTGCTCCACTCTTTGTCTGATGATCTGGGATGAGATTGGCCTGACTCTTGACCACTCCCAAGGGAAGAATCTTCAAGACTAGATTTTGAGGTGGCTTTACTCTGGGTATGTGAATGAAAGAAAAGACTATTTGCCTAGAAAATGCCCAATAAGTTGTCAGAATTCCTCTTTCACAAATCAAAAACTTTCAGCTTTGTATCAGTTGTGATTTAACCCATTTCCTGGCATGAAACATTTCACAGACCTGTGTGAAACATTCTGGTTTCATACTATGCTAATAAAAATCAATAATATGTACAGTACAATATATATGTGCAGAAGTCACCTATTTCTATTTTCCTCATTTAGTCCATTCAATGTTAGATTTATGACATAGCGGTTACTTTAGAAGAAAAAAATATATATGGTCTCATTGATGGTCCTTGTCTAGTATACAAAATTTAATTCTTTGCTGCAAACTGTGAATAATTTACTAAATTTTTGGTTGAATAAACAGAACCAATATATATTTTTTTTTATTAAGATGCATATTATGAGGAAATTATTATGCACACAATCAGATCATCATACATGTATGTCCACATGTAGATTATAATCATTCAATAATCAAAATGAGTATTTATCTAAAATACCCTCAAGTTTAATTCACTATGTTTACACAAGTTTTTGAATTATAAGAAAATAGAAGTGCTCCTTTTTATCTTTATTAGTTTTAAGAGTGTGAGGTTGGGTCCAGGTTTTTTTCAAATCAAATAACCTACACTGTATATTTGCAAGGCATGATCAATATTATATCTGACTTGTTTAAATTCCACACTGATTAAAATTACAGATTAATCTGTGCAAATACTACAAACATGTGTTTCTAGAGTAAGTACTTTGATAACTTAACATTTTAAATCTCTTTGGACATTGTGTATCAACTGCAAAGGTCAAAAGAATTAGTAATGTACAGCAACTTCTTTGCTTTATTATCAAGCATGTTTTAAAAATGTTAATCAATAACAAATTATTTACAATGTACTTGTTGATCTACGCAGTGAAAAACACACAAAGATGATGAAAATAAGATATGAATCTGTACAATAATAATAAATAGAAGAGACTAATATTTTATGTGAAATTTAACAACAAATTATGAAGGAAAGGGCAACATTAAAGCCTGTCTGCACTAGTTTGGCCAGGGAAGATTAGACCTCTCTGCAAGGGCACTGACAGGTGGGTATCTCATCAAATCAGCTCTCAGTTAACATAAGAAAAAGGTGATCATGGGGGACCAACAGGCACTGATTAGGCATTGTTTGCTACTTTACTATTGTTAGCTATAAGTAGTGCAGTGGGGCTTTAAATGCATGAAAATGACTTCATTGTTTTTTTTTTTCTTTTTAAAGAAGAGGTTAGCTTACCCGAGAAGACCCAGAAGCCATCTCTTCTGCTGACGAGCTGGTGACATCACCCAGAGAGGATGCCATGGAAACCACATCCATGGGCGGAATATCTGTCCAGTCATCATCTACAACAGAAGAAGTGCCTGTCTTGGGATTGACCTTGGTCTCTGCCTTGCTCTCCTGGCCATGTCTGTTCCTCAGCTGAGAGAACTGGTTCCTGAAATTCATTTCTGGTTTCTCAGTTTGCTCCTCCCCTCTTAAAACTTGGACACCCGCTTGCTGGAGGCTAGGGGATGAAGATGAAGGGAATGATGCAGAGTCTTTGCTTGTTTCCTCCTTCGGAAATTCCTTGGCATCAATGCTAGGGGATGAAGATAGAGAGGATTCAGATGTTTTGCTTGGTCCGTCCTTCACAAAGTTATTGGCGTCACCAAGATTAGAACATGTTTGATCACAATCTTTGTCACCACTGTTAGCAAGAGATTCACCACTGCCAGACTGAGAGATAGTCTCCCTTATTTCATCATCCTTTGCAGAATTAATTGTATTTTCGTCAACCCTTGTAGCATTCACATCTTCATTCTGTAAATCAAACGGAACAGAATATTCAACATTTGAATGACTTCTCAATTTAGTCCCTAACTGTGGAGACCTCTGCCTCAAAGTATCACTTCCATAAGAAACAGTTTGACCTCTTCTCTCTTTCCCATGTGACGATGTCTCTGTATCAAGCTGAGATCGCTTGGTATCCTTCCGTGCGTCTGGTGCAGCTACTACCAAGCTGGCGGGATCTTTTGTCAAGACTCTGCGCTTCCACCTACTCCAGAGCTCTGTAAAGCCTACACGTGAAAAGAGCATGAGACACATGATCAATATATCACACACTAATGAGCACCAATTTCCAGAAAGCAATTAATTGTTTTAGCCACAACAGAAACTAGGAAGTGCCAACATTACTTTCGAAGCTTCAACTAATTCAGTGCATGGATTATATATTTCTGTTTTTTGGTAGGTACACTAAGAGTACAGCGATGCAAAATTGTTATTCCTTCACTTCAACATTTCTCTTGCACTTGGCTGTACAAACTCTCCATATATTTGCTCATTGGGGGCAACAAATCAAATAACGTCACTGATGAATGATTATATTTAAGGACTTGAGTAAATTCCATATTGTGTGGCGGCACACTTTTGAATACCAATGAGCATAACATAATTAACCCATTGTAGGTGGTCACTGTATTAAGCATATGGGGATGAGAGCACTCAGTAGTCAAAGGGTCAATCAAACATTTTAACATTCACACTCCTCAATAAGTACTCCATTTTATTTTATTTAAAAATAACATTCATATAAAAATAATAAAATGTGTCATTTAATCATATCCTGATTAAATTTGTGAAAGAAATGTTTTAGGAACTACAATGTAAGGGGCCAGAGACAGCGAGCCCTACTCAACGTACAGTACGAAGAACTGTAAAGCATTTCCTTGTTTAATGATACAATTTTGTTTTGAAAACAGGCACCCTGCCTTCATACATATACATTCAGTTCAAACAAATTAGTTCAAATGAATTGCTACACACAGCCATTCTCCATCCAGAAGAAAATACAAAATAGTTTAATAGAAATGTATCATGTACACCTTTTTCCTTTGAAAATACTTAAGTTTTAACTTTTCTCATATCATTTCTTCTCTTAGAGCTATGTACATGAATCTATAATTAAAAAACACATCTACACAAACGAACAAACCTACAGGAAACAACAAAAACAAATTTTCAGAATTATTCTACCCAATCAATGGTGGCAAGTAAAGTAATAGACCCGACTGCCTATTGTTCATACAGTATGTGTGAATTCTCAAGTCAATTAAAGATGAATAGATACATCAAAATGAACAGACTTTAATACTTCTCAACTGATGAGAGGAGGAATAAAGTTCAAAATGGAGAATGTTTCCGACAAAATATCTGATACGTTACCTCCTTTATCTTCATGTCTCTCAGCATTACTCTCATTTCCATACATGTCTGATCAATTTGTAAATTATTGCAGTTTTGAAAATAAATAGTACAATTTTTCTCCTTGCTCATGCACCGAACGCCTTGTAGATTACGAAATACATCTTGTGATTCTCAGTCATGTTTTTCCACCCTAAAATGACTTCATGATGCAGTTATTGATAGCCAGGTAATGTACAAATAACCCCAGTATATTCATCAACCCTCAAATCTTAGGTCTGAAGTCCACTGATATCCCACATGTGTAGAGTACCTTATCATGTGTGTGTATGTACATTATGAAAAACAGGCATCCATTAGAAAAATTGTAAATGTAGACCTTGATTATATTCTAAGCATATGGTCTGATTAGAGTCAGAAGGTTGTTAACTCTTTGTAAAATGATATGAGTAAAAGCCCTTCTGGCTTAAAATAGAATATGCTAGAACAAAGAGAAGATACCAGCACAAGAGTGACTACGGGTATGATGGATTATTCACACAAGGTATTTTTATGGCATGAGCATTTAACAGCTGACATTTTAAGAGTTAAGCATTCTTTGCGGTAATGAAAGAGGGCCCTCTTGTGGTTGATACCTGGTATGTCACAAAGAATTACCTTAAGCCATAGAGTACCAAAGTGCTAATGTTATACTTGCTCATACATGTACATGTATGTTACATTGTCAACTGAATCATATATATATTTCTTATCTATTAAAATTGTTTTATTAGCATAATTCATGCAAATACATCAATAATAATTAACTACAGGTATAAAGTGTATGAGCTTGATTGCTGACAGACTTGCATCTTCCCTGAGCTATTGTTATGATAAACTTTCTGTAAATCAAACTTATGATTCATAAGTTTGATTTATAAATTTGCAAGAGCACCTTGAAGGCCTACTTACATACCACCAACAAATACATTTCTTACTTATTTTCCAAATCAATTCTTGCTTCTACACTGTCCGTTTGTCAATGAAAATGAACAAAAGAATTTAAAAAGAATGAAGATGATGATCATGATATTGATGATAATAATAATAATGATGATGATGATGATGATGATGGTGACGATGATGATAATGATGATGATGATAATAATAATAATAATAATAATTATAATATTAATAATATACATTTACAATGACAATATGGTCATCTGCATGATACTGATCATGATGACAGAGGATTATGATAATTGAAGAACAACCCTAGGATTGCACATATATACAGTACATGTAACCTTGCAGACTCTCCTACAAACTTGTATAAATATCAGGATAAACATGAACAGTCAAGAGAGCCATGAGATATCTATTACAGTAAATGGCATCATTAAACTCTTGATAGGTCTTAACCCAAATATGGTAACAAGTCCAGATGCAGAGCTGCCAATCTTGTGCAACCAAAACAACGAACCATGATGGCAAAAAAAAAGGAATTCATTAAAACAAAACTTACAACCCAGGGGTGATAGTGAGCCCTAAAAGAAAAATAGGTTTTTTGTTTTTCCCTCAACCACGACCCCCTTGAGTAAAAAAAAAAAAAGAAGAGGATTCGCAGGGAAAAAATGGCATCTAACAACATTCCCCCTTTCGAGTAAGAAAATTGGGAGAAAAAAATAGGGCAAAATAGGGAAGAATATAGAAAACAAGAGGGAAATCGGGAAAATCAGGATAAAAACAGGGAAGAAAAAAAAAATTGGTAAAAAAAAATTAAAAAAAAAATAAAAAAAATAAAAAATCTGGATTTTTTTTTTTTTTTTTTAAATCGGGAAGAAAAGAAAAAATCTGGAAAAAATCGGGGAAAATAAAAAAAAATCGGGAAACCGATTTAAATCGGGTTTTTATCAGGCCTGACAACCACGCGCGACACACTTCCGATGCAGAAATGTCCATTCCTCATGCTATTATTCCCATATTAGGACCTATAGTTTATTTACAAGTACTGGTAGGACGTAATAGTTGGCAGCTCCGAGATGCCATCCCAGTCAAATTCTCAAGATTTGTGCTCAAGAAATTCCACCAGCCCTTCAATGTAGCAACTATCTAGCAACTATAGACTTACACTTACATGTTTGTACTGTAATTACTGAAACTGACTCACATATTTATTAAGGAGTAGATCCATGTAAAAACATGGAATGGAATAAAAATGTTGAACTAACAACAACTTAAAGTACCGTAATAAAATTCTAGACTTTGTCAAACTTTTGAAAATGTACAGAAGATAATAAATCCTAAGTGGCTTATTGTTCCCTTGTCAGTCCATCATTGGAATATAGTTTATCAGTCTAGATCCCTATACCATTGACCTCATATCCTGAGTTGGGGCAGTGCAAAGAAGGTCCGCCAGATTTGTTAAGAATGATTATGGCAGGCAAAGTAGTTCAACTCACAGATGTTGGTAAAAATAGTTTCAAATTTAAGTCGGGAATCTAGCGTCAATCCTGGCAATGAGCCGCTTTGCTTTCATTGTGTGCATTTCTTGAGAATCTTGAGGATCAATAAAGGGTGTCTTAACATTTTTTTACACACAAAGTATACTAATACTACTGTGAGCAATTTCAACGTCTAGTTTTAACTGGTGTGCCATAACTAACATTAAATATCCAAATGTATTCAACTATTAAAGCTAGTATGAGGCACAATGCATGAAGTCTATCAGTATTAGTACAGTAAATGGGATGGACCTCATAGTTATTAAGACGGGCAAGACTGTACTGCTAATACATTCATGCAATATTTTGTAAAACCTGCTGTATGATACTTTCAAATAAATGAGCCAGGGGCTCGTTCCTAGAAACCAGCGACAAGACAGTCATAACTTTATCCGCCAACTACGGAGATGGCTCTGATCTTCCAAACTGTTTCACAAAGAGCTTACTAGATAGATATCTTGTAAGATCGATACTATAGGCAAAAAGGGGAGCTGAGACTTAGCCTTAGTCGCAATACCACCGGATTATTACAAAAGTAATATTAGGGAAAATGCAATTATTTAAATTAATTAGTAATAAAAAAGATTGAAAATGATACCAAGAAATAAGAGATGCAATATACTTCCAAATTTGTGTAGATTATACAATAGAAGTACATGTAAAATATAATTGTGAGTATTTCATTACATGACCAGTGAATCAGTTTTGTTCTTGAGATGGGTACCCCCCCCCCCCCCCCCCCCCCCCCCCCCCCCGGATATTTTCATTTGATAGTTTATACAAATACACCAATATATTATTCTTAGAAAAAATACGATGTAATGAAATTTGTGTCCAATGTTTTAGGTGTCAGTTGAATAATCAAATGACAAAACTTCAACATTCCAAACATTAAAATGTTTAAAACTATTCATTTTACACATTTGAAGATAGAATTTATCTTGAAGGCAATATGGGTCTGAAAAGTAAAGAATACACTTCGAATTATGGCTTGCCTGTCGTGGCAGATTACCAATCCCTTCGAGGATTTTACAATATGTAAAGAAACGTGTATAATCAGTTTATAAAAGTGGGAAAAACCTGAAATATAAACATGGCATATTTTCAAAAGATTTTCTAATATAAAGACATGATAATTTCCTGTGAATGTGAAGAAAGATCATAGCTGGATGATTTATTGTCCTTTTTTGCTAGCCATAGTCTACCCAATAAATGACATGTGATGGCGCTGCCCATCGACTAAATAGTAATGACAGAGATACGACGGTGTCAGAGGCGTCATAACTACTAAGTCAGGATATTGTCGTTGATCTTGGCAAAGAGGGCTTCGTGAAGCACGTAGCGGACAAGTTGCTCACTAACGCTGATTTAGTCAAGAAGTTAGACTTATGACGGTTTCTAGGAACGGGCCCCAGGATAGTAATGCAGCTACCGGTATGTGTGGCATGGGGCGGTATTCTGAACATTGTTGTAAATTTTGTGTTATCTTTTGTTGTATCTCCCAGAGATAACACAGCGCTAATATTGTTGTAAGTTGGTATTCTGAAAATCATTTTATCCCTGTTATCTCTTGAAGGACCGCCTCTATCTTATCTTTGACCACTGACGACACGCCCATTTGTATGGACCCTACCAATCAAAATCTATTTTATATAAGCATGATAAGTAGGTCAACCAATAGGAATAATTTATGCCATATCTGAAGATGCGCCTAGTGCATACTAATCTTGGGCGTAATTAGTTAATTGAGCGCTTATTACGCGCGTCATCATATGCGCTGTGGCATGTGGATCATCAATACAAGTCACGCTTTCACTTTAAGATGCGAGCATTAAATTCATCATATCCTAGCATGTAACTTCTTAGAAATTTCTCATCTGTGATGTTTCTGGTTAACACACAATCTTCTTTTAACTTGTCTATTGACACGAAGTTGGTTCTGGGCAAGAAAGATTGCCGCCATTAGATATCACCACGAAAGATACAACATTCAACAACCGTACATGTTGTAAATATTGTTGTAAATACCATGCAAGATAAGATAAGATAAAAGATACAACAATTTTCAGAATACCAATTATCTTGTCATATTATCTCCTGTGCGCATATGCAAATGAGGATTAGGTGCCAGTTAATATGCACTAGACTTTCTATAAATAACAAGCACATAAAAGTTTGAGCGCAGGCGCGACCAAAGAGTCTACAACAAAAGGACTCCAACAAAAGATACAACAATGTACAGACTACCAAATTTATCTTATCTCCAAAGATACAACAATATTAGAGATAACACAGGGTTCAGAATACGGCCCCAGAACCCGGGCCCCAGGATAGTAATGCAGCTATGTGTGTAGTATACGTCAAGCACTCGGTCATTACAATTACAACTGTTCAACACTTCAAGATATTCAACACGTGGGACAAGTCACAAGGTCAACTCAAGGCTATTCATTCTCAATTCAAAGGAAGACCGGATGGAGCTCGATCATTCTTGTCCTTGTCTACACACAAAAAATAAGAAAATCATCATAGCAGCCTTACTTAGACTATATCTATACATAAGAAAATTATATAGACTAGGGCCTACTCACAAAAAAGCTATTGCCAGGTCCAGGAATCAAAACTTACATGTATTCTAGGTTCCGCACATAGACTACATGTACGTACGTATAAACACAACAGCTCGAATCGTATTGTCAGGTGACCTAATTTTGAAGCTAGGAATCGAAAATAAAAGTGCTAAAAGGTACAGCGGCGCGCGAATTTTTTTTCCGTACTCGAGA